ACACTTGGAGTATTTGCAAGGGAAAATGTCTTTTCTAGTTTCGATAAAAAAAACATGGCCCATTTTTTCGTTCTATATTTCTCATCTATCTCCAAAAAGAGTTCTGCCAGCAAAGTGTCTCGGTTTGATTCCAATTTTATCTGCCCCATTTTGCCGGAAGGGAGCCAAACTCATAATAGTTACCCGCATCACAAAGTTTTTTTCGCAGTTAACCTTTACACATTAGCAGGCGTCGCTCCGTCTCCTCAGGTTTTCTCTAATAACAGACATAAACAGACGGCCGCATACACAACGCAATCTGTACCTATTTGTGTTCGATTTACGATAGTTTCCTCATTCACACCCATGCCCTTTTCTCAGCCTCTGTGCAGTGTACAATTTTTTGTTTTCTTCTATGAATTCCCGAATACAACTACGTTCGAGGGTCCGTTCGATTGAAAGTAGCCCATTAATCGCATAGAAAACTAATAAACAACAACTATATAATATATAGATCTTCTGCAAGCAATTTTTTATATATGTACAAGAGATAAATGTAACGTAGTTTCACATTACTTGATCAAGACTATTATATAGAACTTTTTTTATGATTCTATAATTGCACGTGGCAAAAAACGCATATCAACGGACAGTGTTGATCCTTCTGCGCGACGAAATCGCAGAAGGGCAACCTTTGCGCGCCCCAATTTGTGCCACTGCCAACGAAAAGGGCGGGTCCAAAACTTGAAATCTGGGACGTTCTCCAACGACGTTCTGACGTTGCTGCAACGATTCTCATTCGCTCGTTGCCAAAATACGGAGCGGAATATTTTTACTGCAGCATTTTTGATAATGATCATCATCTTCATTTGCTTCGTCGCCGCCTAAGACCCTTTGAGGTTCACTAGTCGTTTTCGTGGATGGAGGCTTGGCCAGTTTCCAAGCACGACATGAGAAGGCCGCTTTGTCGCGTCGGGCTGCTCGGCCTAGGCACGAAGCTGCTTTTCAGCCAGTCGCTATCTTGACGCTTAAGATAAATGTCTCAGTCGTTTTTTGGACAGCCTGTCGGTAGGACTGAGCCGTATCTTGGCGGGATTATGCTTCAAGTTTGACAGGATCGGAAAAGTGGATTGATTTAGGATTTGACCTTGACTATGGCCATCTAGGGCGACCGAGAGCTCGGTTCAGGAGCTGGTCTTGGTTTTTGTGAGCTCATACAATATTATCGCAAAATATCATCAGAGCCGAAATAGCGGACGCAGTTTTTCCGATCGCTAGCCTTTGGGTAACGGAGTATAGAAAGCGCTCATCAACGAGATGGTTACGTTTCCATGTAAACGAGGTAAAGGTACTATTGTAAATAGCGTGAAGACATGCGCCATTTATACTGTGAAGAAAACAAGAGGCAGAGTGAAATTTTCATTGGGGATAACGTACAGATTGGCCGCAATTTTCGACGTTAGGCGTCCTCTGTACATAATGAATATTGTTATAGTAGTAAAATGCGTCAACCAGTGAAATTGGTGACATATGACAATACAGACAGTCAATTTCCATAGATATTGCTTTATCTATGGCAACACTTTCGGCTAAAATGAAGTAGGAAAGAAGTTCTCTTCAGTCAATTAGATCGATTGATTTGTTCAGGGTGAGAAAAGGCAAAAAAAAACTATCTCATGCGACGATGTTGATAGAACGTTAATCTACTGAGCTTTTTTTGAATCTGGCATGAGTCGAGGGTGGAGAAAGTGCGTGTGTTCATTCATAGGCAAGAAAATGCCATTAAATACGTGAGAGTATTTTTTCCTAAAAACCTACAATCTTTTCCTCGTGTCCAAAAGCCCTAAAAACGCTAATGTCCACGCTAAACATGGACAATAATTGAGCCTTTTCTTTGGACTTATGATATGCGTAACGCTATATAATGTGGGAGATTTCGAAAATACAATCCGCTGCATTTGGCATGTAGTAAATCCTGGCTGACGCCAGATGGACCTCTCCATCTTCTTAAAGGGTTTCCAGACTGGCTAGTTCGAACTTCTCGCAGCTTAGTTCAGCTAAGCTTAATCGAGGAAAGAAGACCCCGTAAAGCAAGGGTGCAAGCTCATCTCTTGGACTTCATTTGAAATGTTGTAACTCGCGTCATTCCATGAAGCGACGCAATAAAACAATATATCACTGCTGATCTTCATACAGCACGTTGTTCGCTAGGTACTTCGTTACCGAGTCAGACAGGCATGCATTGCATTAATCTACCAGCGTGAGTATGCGCGATTCGACATGTCCTTCATGTTGGACGCCTTCAGATATGTATTTTATGATATGGATAACAATGAGTAGGTGGTACCTATCAACTTAAAGCGGCCCACTAACTACTCGAGAGACTTGGAAAAATTAGACCGCCTGTATAACCTTGATATTCAACAGATATTGCTTATTAACACTAGAGCTGAAATAATCTGTCGTGTCCGTTCGTACGTACCAAAATTCACAACGTCAGTACTATACTTTTAAAAGCTGTACAATTCTATCCACCGAAAAAAATACCTAGTATACTTTATGTTGGGTTACTTTCTTTTATGTTGTTAATATTCTTAGCGAAATTAAGGTGTTAGCCTGCCTCACTCTCGTATTCACCACTATTTTCCTGCCATTGGTTACAGTTAAATAAACATGGCCCATTTTGTCGAGGCTGCCGCAAGACGAGCTTCTACAGCCCGATGACCCGTTAGAACCTTTTTCAGGTCTGTGTTGGCGCAATATCCCCTTGCTTCGTGCTGCCTTTCCATGCGTTTTTTCAGTGAGACCTTCGTTACACTCAAGCCACCTGCTAGACGAGCCCATACAAGTCCGCTGGTTCGTTGATTAGGCCATGTCCATTCCCCAATTATAATTGAAGCGCTCAGCCTCTCGACAACGGCAGTGGACAGCCTATGCGAAAGAAAAGGGAAAACGTCGTTTGATTATCGGTGCCACACAGCGTAGTGATGTAGCAGCGTTCAATCGGCGACGGCTTTCGGTGCCAGAATAACGTGACCCTGCATTCCTGGGTTCGGACATGGGACACAAGTTAAATGATGTGAAACTACCTGTATTGTTCCCTACTTTGTCACGTTGACAGTCGATGTTATCTTTGTGGTCGTCATTTGATGGTCGTATGTTCGTGTGAAGTCGTTTGCAGATTTTTCTGCCAGAAGTAACTTTTGCTCCAAAGAAAAAACTTTAAAGCGGTAGGAAAATCGCTTTGAGTGGATCACCAGCGAGTCCGTTCCGGTCAGCGCCCATAAACTAGAAACAATCAAGCTGGTCAATGACGCGTACGAGATATATGCTGTACATCAGTGGATTAAGTAACAACGAAACAATGAAGGTTATAAACTCTGTCTGCTCTACAAACATAATTTGGAGAAGAGACTAAACTGCTCTAGTTTCTGTAGTGGGCGTTTTGTACAATGCCCCCACTGTTGTTTGCCATCGTTGCAAGGAGGCCTTTTCTAGTACCGAAACAGGATTTTAAGTCAGATATGTGTGTGCTGCGAGATAGCAAATAAAGAAGAATAGAGATTCAATGTTGTGGCTAATGAAAAACATCTACGTTGAAACTTGTTTAGCAGTCATAATTAGGGTACGTGCCTAGTAAAAGAAAATGTCTATAACGCAAATTTGAAGTTGAGGATTAAACAGTTACAGAAGGAAATATTTTTGAAGAACATTTCCTAAAGACGTTTTCGAGCGTAGCACTCTCCTGTTAAGCTTTGCCTAGGGGAAGCAGTGTAATGTCACAAGGTACAGGCTGTATCTGACTAGCGAGGATATTCGAAAGATGAAGCAGTGAATTCAGGCTCAACTATAATGGCCCCGCCTCTTGTTCTAACGAAGAAGATCGTCAAAAGACAGGTCCATTGCAATGTTCTCTAAGTTCAGGAGGCACTTACGAACAACTTTAGAAATAAAGTTGTTCTTCTAGGGTAACAGCATATGGGTTAAGTGGGTATCCGACACCTACAAAAAGCCTGCAATAGCCTGTAAAGGCAATGTCATCTTCATCTGTGGTATCAATTATATGAACTCAATTAACAATGTTTTATGACGATGCCGGTTCGGACCAAAGGTCAACTTCACGAAGCCTAGACTAGTGACGAACTCAAGCGATAAAGGCGCAAATTAGTGAATGCCGCAAGTGAAACACAGACAAACCCGACGATACCCAATTAACCCAATTAACCAAATATCTTTAGTTAATTTCATAGTTCATGCTGCTTTTTCAGACTGGGCAAGACGTTCTGATATTGCTCATAGCGCACTCTACCGGTACTCTCCTTCACTTAGGATGATATACTGAAATCGAATGCCAATGTTAGCTGCAGACGGGGTGACTTAAAAGATCCATGCATGAAATCTGCCGAGGAGCAACCTTTAGCATCTCCTTGGTAGCAACATAAAAATTTAGCTGGATGTATTATCACAGGACAAAGGAAAGGCTGTCCTATTTTCGGGAAAGCACATGAAACCTACAACGTTTTTCTAAAATTTTTTCTAAGAAAATTTTTCCAAAAAAAATATAGGCAAAGGACGCTGAAGCGGAAAGGATCCTATACGCTCCGTGCTGATTTAAGCGAATGGAAGCAACTAGCGCGACGAACTGGTGCATGCGCCGTGCTGCATCGATCAACTTAATAGGCGAAACGAACCTAACGTTTGAAATGGACCTAGATGTATATGTCTAGGTTCGAACCCAAGCATAAACAGATTTCATTTTATGTTGAAAGCCCACTATCTGATGGAATGTCCATCGGAGATATCGAATTTAAAACTCAAAACATAGAGGGTAATTAGGCAACTTGACGCTTTTTATTTACATTGTTGAGATATATATATATATATATTACGATGTAAATAAGAGGCGTAAATATTATAGTACCAGTATTTAAATTAAAAGAAAAAAAGGAACTATTACTAATGAAATGCATTTCGCTAATCATAAATTATATTTAATCAATATTATTCTTTTCTAATTGCAGCATCATATACGGACACGAGCTCCGATGATGAGGGCGTGACACCGCGAGAAAAAATCCAAAAGTCGTCGAAGGGATTTACCGATTTCTGTGTTAAAAACATCGGGCAGGCCGCTTTTGGCAGGCGAGAAATCGAAATTGCTGAGCAAGGTAAATCCTCTGCATGATTTTAAATTTCTAACAGATGTTATAAATATCTATAGAAGTTGTTTGCGTGACTAGACTGAACGACTAATCAATTGTCAGACCAATAGTTACGCAAATAAGAAACGAATTTATCAGCAAATCATCGATACGGATGATATCACAATCAGAAGATGCCCCTAGAGACTCTAGTAGACGATTTTTAGCGTGACTGGACTGCATTGTGATCAAACAAGAACCATATGTACGATATCTTTGACTCTATATGCTGTAGGAAACCAAGCCCCTTACGCTTCCAGAGTTCTTCATATTCCGCAAGGCAAGGATCGAGTTGTACAAATTGCCTCGCTTACACAGCAGAGCAGACGTTGAACAAGCTAGAGGTTCGATGTGTAAAAGCTTCAGACTGTACACGATAGCATTTTGGGGTTTGAATGTTTTATTGCTAGACACGAAGTTCCTGCTCAAGCAAGTTACCAAATTAGCAAAATGTAAATTATGATAGATTTATTACCTCAAGCAATAACGATTAGTTCAGAATCGAGAAAGACTTTCGATGAAATTGATCGCTCGCTCGCTTAGGCCAGAAATGAGAAAGCAATTAAACGTAGTGCGCCTCTAATCTATCAGGCTCCTTACACATTATAATGTCGAGCACCCTTGAGGCAGCTTAGAGAACATGCCAAATAGTTCTATATCAATGCACGGGGAACTACATGGGATCTTATGAAATGATCCTTTTTAAAATAAGGCGCCGAGCCGCATACGCCTTATTTAAACGAGCTCCTTCTTTTTTAGGCCTGCGAATATTTCGTACACCCACTGTGTTCTCGTAAGCCATTTTCTCCAACCACGGTTTTTAGCAAAGATTTACAATTCCATTATAATATGAATACGATACTCCTGTTTGTAGGTTTGTACGGGAGCCAGCAGCCATCTTGAAATCTTCTCGAATAAACTTAGTTTTTGAAAGAAATAACCAGGCTTCCTTTGGCTTGACAGAAGCTTCGATATCCTTGAAGGAAAGATACATATACATATTGCCCACCCATTGAACCTTCGAAACCTCCGACCCCTCCCTGCCAAGGCTCCAAATAAAGCAGGTGCAATGGCGGTACTTTAGAGGCCCAAAGTTACACCTGAACACCTAAAAGAGTCGTCGTTTAAATCACTGTCCTAAAACGATGTAGTAGAATGTATATGGTCATAGCGAGCTAAGCTTGTTCATCAACAAAACTCGGAATGTCCTTGCCCCAACAGTTATAAAGGTAAGCTCGAACTACTTCAAACGTTTTTACCTTTAGATTGCTCTAAAACAGCCTTTTACTGTCTAAAACTAGTTTCTGTATGTTTTTTATGGTGAAGTACACTAACGCACATAGCCTTCTAACGCATATGCCTACTAAAGAATGAATAAATGGTGCGCGAGCAGTGAAACGTATGTGCATATATTATATGTTGTGTATGTTTCCCTATACTATTCTCTATATTGTATACGTTTCCCAAATGACTGCTATATCGATACGTAAATTCCTATACAAAGCTAATTCCGCGTTCAGATCAGGGGCATCTAGCCACAGCACCAATGTCAAATCATATACAAACTCGCTTTTCAGCTTCTCGTTCGTTTTGAATGGGATAGTTAATCTTCCGAAAGTAATTATACCTCGTCTCTGTGTCGCTTCGTTCATAAAGTGCATTTTATGTTTACAGTGAGTAGCAGACAATGTGCCTCAAGCTGACAAAGATTAACGAAGGTGATGAGCGTTCCTGTGTACGCCGAGACGTACAGCTGGCTTTCATAATCATATAATAAACGATAGCGTCCTTTTCTGCACATGTACTTTCTGTAGTCGAAGCTACAATAATCAGTTCGTAAAGTATGATATGTTTCTCAGAACAAGAGTAAACCTGAGTGTACGTAACTTAGGACTCAGCAAAACCTAAATGAAATGCAGGTTTCAAACGCTCGGACCAGTACGCGGTGTGCTGTCACGCTAACCTTTGCTCACGTTGCAGAAAGTTATCAACATTTATCACCAAGAGATCCGCGGCTGGCGCAACTTTCATTCAGACCTTAGACAAAGCCTAGCCTATTCGATGCGGCCGTTGAATTTATATAAATATTTGTTTTTCCTGTTCTCTAATATTGCTCATTCCACGTAAGAGTAATGGCGTTTCTCAGTGCAAGAGAGAAACGAGAGTATGGGGTTTTCGGCTCTATGAGGCGGTAGCCCGACCGGCACCTCGGCCGCGACGAATTAGTCCGCTTCTTAAGCCCTTAGCGCTGCCAGTGCCTCCAGTTGGGAGTTAAGGTTTCCTCATAGGTCCCCACTCCCTCGTACACTTTTTCCTGTCATGTTCAACTTTGGAAAACTCTTGCGAGAAGTCCCTACGAGGGCCGAAAACAGAAGGCCAACGTGAGCTATCTCAGCAACAATTTGTGGCCGCCAAAATGATATCCAAGTGTTTTACAGATAGAGCACTAGTAGTACTCGAGATTTACCATCTGGGTGATGAAAGAGCTGAGACAAATCTTATGACGTGCAGGATTAAAGCTAACGTGGAATTAGCAGTACATAGCTGTTTAATAGTTTTTTGAAAGCAAGTCGAATTACGTATTTGTGAATAACGTAATATATACGTAACCTAAAGTTGTATTAGGTAATCTTTAAAGCCGTTGCCTGTGGTATGGGGCTAATTAGTTGAGCATATTATCTGATAATAATAATAATGATGCCCCATAATGCCCTTTTCACATTACAGAGATGCCCGGCATTGTGGCGCTTCGTAAAAGAGCAGAAGCAGATAAACCACTAAACGGGGCTAAAATTGTCGGCTGTACGCATATCAACGCGCAGACCGCGGTAAGTGTATAAATAACAAGTTCGAAAATTTACATACATTTCACAGAGCAACTGTTCGTAAGCGGGGTAAAACAATGGGGTAGGGGGCAGCACTAGTACCGCGCCGGAGATAAAATTCGAAGCATTTACGTACACACGTGATTCAAAAAATCTCTAAACTTTATAGAAGTATTTCCGATATGTTTTTTTCGGCATTCGTTATCAGCACTGCATTATCTTAAACATAATGAACACCAATGCCGAAATGTTTGTAGGTAAAAGGCATCATCACTGGCATACCGGTTGGTCTAGCTTTCAGAAATTATCCTTTGTCTTTAGGTTAGGTCAATAATAAAACAGTAAAAAAAGTAGCGTGACTCACGAAGTGAGGCGTTTGAAGTTTTGCTTTATTTGGTTATTATTATATGGTGAGGATATAGTTCGAAACTACGAAGGCTGCACCATTCTTTTAGATCTGAGCCAGTGATGGTATTGTATGGCTGTGTCGAACATATAAAACTAGGTTTATTGTTCGTTTTATTACACCCCGTTGTCCACCTTACATATACTGAAATTTTCTAAAGTTTTTGAAAGCCTTCTCCTCTGCCCTCCGAAACGATTTCTTCCTAATACTGTTTCAATCGTTGCCACACGTTACGATACTGAGTTTATTATATATAAATACTTAGCTTATAGTGTACATATAGTACAGATGGTGTTAAGCAATGAGTAATTCAAAGATAGAAGTTTCTAAGAACGAAGAGAATGGCAACTGGTCTCTTTTGGTGGGTTTGCAGAAGAACTCTAGTTAAACATATAAAAAAAAAAAAAAAAGTGTATAAAACGCCGATTGGAATCTTAAACGGGCTCTAATCACTAGTACTACTCCATGTGATGACAAGCTTTCTTCACAAAAAAAAAGATGATGGATAATCGAAACAAAAAAAAAAAAACAACAGAATAAAAAATGTCATATCGTGTTTTTCCTATGTTGTCCAGTTGATCGGATATTGTTTGTAATGATGATCGGAAACAAGAGTAACACGCAAGACATCAACCTTTTTTGCCGGGTCTAGTCCGTTGTCCTGGCAATATACACCTCTCGTACGGAGCGCAATAGATAGCAATGTGTATTTTCATGTAAATACGTACGGCTATACATTGATACACCTAAATAGAATAGTCGATTTTAAAAAGCACGTCTTATTATGCTGTGTATACTCTGCATGATGAAGCCAATATGCACGCGCCTGTCTCCATCTAGAAAGGAGTCTCCGGCTTGATCCAACAACTATCATTGTTAATACTACGTGCCTAACCGACATTCACGTCGAGTTAGACGCACAACGCTAGGTCATGCACTAGGTAGGTGGCGAGCCCGCGTTGCATCCTATGTCCTATATATTTATATTGTCTTACATTTTTTCTTGCGTATGTCGCAGTGATTCCACTATGTATCGCAGTAACTGTTCAGTTACTATACAAAAGAAGCAATACGCGACGCGCGTTGCCGCCGGGGCCTTAAGTCTCTGGATTCCCGAATCTCACAAAACATATGGAAACCTATGTAATCTTTCACTTGCAGGTTTTTCACCAGTAATATATTTTATTGTCTCTATTATGATTCAGTTCTGCCTTAACTCCCATTGGAACCTGACAGGTTACGATCTACCTAGACATGCCCACGTCACTGACTGCCGTCCTGTTATTTGTTATTCAGTCCTATCTGTTGTGTATCTATTGCAGTTTTCCAAAGCGGATTCGTAGCTACCTTTCCGTACCCATTGTCGGTGATTTTTATAGTTTTTTCCCCCCTGATTTTGCTTGCAGAGGCTTCTTTCGTATTCGTGGTATTGCGGCTGGCCTTCACTCTAAATGCGATTTCGAGAATCAACAATGTCTTTTCTTTCTACGATAGTGAATAAAATTCGCTGGCTTTCCTTCCTTTTCAGCCCCCCTCTCTCCCCCTCTCTCCCCACCACAACTTCCGTCACTTCGTCGAAGAAATGCGAATTCAGTAAAAACCCAGCATTGAAATGATGATAATGAGTAGATGAAGACTACTCAGTCAGGCCGCTTTCCCACCAGGCGTTGACTGCAACTATTCAGTGGCCATTGCGAGTACCTCCAGTTGTTTTTTTTTTCGGAACAGCTCGTCGATACAAACTAAGGTGAAACAGAAAGTAGTAGACGCGTTCTGAGGAGGAAGTTCGTTCTATTGTCTATTGCACATAACAGCTATTCCATTGTTTCGTTTTATCATGAAATGGTAACGTCCTAGTCCACTGAAGTCAAAGGCACCAAATAAATAAGGTGCTTGAGTTTCAAAACCAGGCGTAGACACACTTGGAATCCAGCCGCCTAAAGCCGTGCTTCACTAAGGCAATGCCAGAGGTAAAATTGAAAACGCTTTTTTCACGTATCGCCACAACAACAACAACAACAAGTGAGGGGCATTTCACTTTCACCTGTTCCTTCTTTGACTAACACATTACGCCTTATATGCTACTTAGCCAATTTCTTACGTTTCTGGATGCCACCGTTGGCATTGCGTGATTACCCATAGGCAGCTCGAGGATACAGAGTGTGCATAAATTCTAAACCTGTACCAGACGGAGATCGTAATATAAATGTATCGGCGTTGTTGTAAAAACTTCTGGAAAACTTTAGCGGTAGGGTAGTGCTACAGTCATCTTGCTATCGGCCAACGCCAAAAGAAATGGCATAAAAGATACACTATTGAAAATTTGGCCCTAGGCAATTTCCAGATACGCGGTATACAGGGCCTTTTTGCGAGAAAGGGTGGGCCACGGAAGGAAGAAGAACGTAGTATAGCCGTACCACTTAAGTTACGCCTGCAGTCGTGCTTGAAGCTTGTTGGATGGGCGGGCCAGGAATCAGGCTGTTCTTAAAAATTAATATTATTCACCTTTGTTGAACCATTTTATAAGATATATAGCGTATTTTTAGGTACATAGCGTATTTAGTACGCAGTAGGTTTGACCGACGCATGTAAAGGATTTTATTAAATTTGCCGCATATATTCATATTGAAACTGTTGTTTATTGCTATGAGATTTTAGGTTGCATAGTATAAGTGAAATAATGAGTCTGACTACTTTCGTTAGTATTATTTCTATATAAAATTAGCTGGATTTGAAACGCCACATGTGTGTGTCTGTATAAGAGTGGCAACTGAAGCTAAGTTTATTCAAATGTCCTGAATTGTAAGGCTGTGCACTGTGGCCACTCGGACTAGGTTTACAACATTTCTGTGAACGTAATAAGAGCAGAAAAATTCTGTAGACATGTCAATCTATACCCAACGTCCATAAATAGGCGGTATCTACGTGGTTTTGAGTAATTTATATAAAACATTTTCCCGCATAGCCTACAGCTAAGCTTGAGTAGTATCATTGACATAGGGTTTTTCGACCGACTCAGGACAGATGCGCCTAGAGAGTGTATAGAACCTTTTTATAGAGTTTAAATTAGCTGTTTCTCTCATGGCCAAGCCTTAATTCAGATATTACGAATGCGGAAGGGATTGACTACGATATGATTTTTCAGCGGCGTATCGTCCATGTGGGTACAGTAAAATTCTCCGACGGACTCGGAACCCGGCTTCTGATTATTTTGTCGGAAATGGCATTTGTCACCCTATTGTCGAATGCTGAATATAAGAATTAAATTGTTCCTAAAGCTAAAGTGAAAATGTTTAGGAATTATTCCTTTAAACATTGATACTGATTACTAGCGAACTATCTAATATATAATAGATTACCCTAACTTACTAATATCATACGATACTAAACGCCATAGCTTGCAATTAATTAGCCCTCAAACGAACTTTTACCATAAACCGTCGCAACAGACGGCCGTCTACAAAATCCTAGACCGCCGTCACGATGTGTGCTGTAATTACGCAGCAGACGATGCTAAGAGCAGGGTAAACACAGACCTAACAAAGGCATGTTTATGCCAGGAGTGCCACAGATGTAGGCCGTACACCATAGGAAAAATGATATTTCATCATGCCTGTCCCATCGCTGTTGTGCTTCTTTATCCTTGCAAGGATAAACCTATGAAAACAAAAACGCGATTCATTTACTGCCGCTTTTGCCGATGTTTATATGAGACGCTTTCGGGCAAAAGAAGGGCTCAATATTTGTAGTTGCAGCCTACTTTGTCTGCAGGTACTCATAACAAGAGAAAGTCAAAGAGATGAGTAGATTTTAATTGACCGCAGATGGGCTGAGAACGCAGAGAAGGAAAAAAAGGAAAAGGAGGGAAGAACCAATGAGACACTTTGATTGCGGGTGGGTAGTTGTCGTCCCCGCGGGGATGAATAACCGAGCATAGCCGCATGTCTTTTATGTTGCCATATATCATCTCATGTTGCCAATGGATGATAGGGCGTACTTTCGCTCTTATTTAGCTTGATGTGGTTTCGAGGATCCCTCCAGTTAAGGCAAAGGCAGATCAGTGCCACTGGAAACATGTTCCTGTGCAGCCACCGTCTCTGTGCTTAACGTCATAGATGGCAGTTAAAAGTTGAGTGCGGCACATTAAATAGGGCGCGGCTCGGGCAAAGGAGGAGGTGCATGTATCGGTAAAATCAGTTGCATAGGCAGGCCTACTTTATTCGCGCGTATAGATCGAAAAAAGCAAGAAATTTCGACCTTGCGAGCTTTTCGAGGTAGGACACTGGCGGTGCTAAATTGAGCGATTCGTGTGGAGAAGAGATGGGTTGGTACTGTTTCTAAAATACTCCACTCGAACGCGACGATCGATCGATTGATTGATCTACTCGTGTATCTGCGTGGTAACAAATACCGACCATCCCGTTGTTAGCAATGTATGTTCGCCACTGAAGGCCGAAAGCTCTAAACGCGATTATGAGACGAAAGTCGTGGTAAGGAAGGCTATGAAAGGGGTCACCACACTAGGCTAGAGTGGTACCTTTCGGAAAATAAACTTTGACAGTATTGATTTAACTTTGATAGGGTATTATGCTTTGTTAGGTCACAGTACGACCTATACGAGCATTATGGTTGTTAGGCTATTTAAGCGACGGGCATCCGATCGTAGCATAATACATGCGGTATCGTCACTCGATACAAAAAATAGTATCATCATCTGATCTATCACACACATCTATGCACATACAAGAGAGGAACGTATAACGAATGCCATCCTATAAGAGCAGGTAGGTACCCCGGGTAATCCTCAGAGACCTGTCAAGTGGAGGCTCACTCACCGCTGGTAACTATTACGAAGCCAAATAACGAACGTTTACCTAGAAGCACTATCGCTAAGTAAGCTCGCTTAAAGAAAGCCACTGAACGACCTTTTTGCCTAGAATAGATTTGAGTACAGGACGTACTTTTCAGCCAATGGGAAATCGCTTTACGAATTATGCCCAGGGAAATAATGGACTCACAGGAGCAAAAGAAAAAAAAACAAAGTAACCCAGAATAATATCAGCAGCTCATTTTTACTGCTTCACATTTGATATATTTATCAATTTAAATTACTTAAGGTTCAATTTAAGTAAAAAAAAAAAAAAAAAAAACTATTAATCCCTTCTGTTCGCAAATTCTTTAAGAGAATTTGTACTCCTGCGCGTAGTTATCGTATGCCATAGGGTGCAGTTCAAGGCCATGTATTCAGCTTCGTTTCGCATTCAATTACACTTCTATAAATATATTTTTTTTATTTGTAGGTCATTTCCATTTTGGGTACCTCTGTGTCTCACCCATTGAAATTATAAGATCCACACGCACACAAAATCATTGGTCGGTAACGTTTTACCAACTTAAGCAACGTAAGTAGTATTTTACTAGCAATATATAAATACTATATAAATTTTACTAGGTCAATAAGGAGTGTTCGCTTAATTGATTTTCAGGTGCTAATTGAAACGCTCGTCGCATTGGGGGCCGGCGTTCGGTGGGCTCCGTGCAATATTTATTCCACGCAGGTATGGATTATGTATATAGTTTATTATTTACCCAGCGTATGCCTGACGTATAGCCTGATCTTGATTTCCTCCCAACTTTTTATAATAAGGTTATTAGTTGAGCGCACACGCAAACATACATACATACATATATATTTTGAATCAACAAGAAGCATCTGATGTCGTAAAGAGGATCCTATCGTGTTAGAGTTTCACTTACTTTGTAACTTTTGCATATGTAACAACTGGCACAGTAGTGGCCGACAGTAACGCGTGTGATGTCTACAGTGTATCCTTATGTCTTTGAGAAGATGCCTACAGATAGATAGATAGAGAGAGAGAGAGCCTAAAAAGAATAAGAAACGTCTGCTCGACTTCGGAAACGAGCCAGCCATCCCTTTGTGCCGAACCAACTCTCGAAATAGATCCCGTCGTTGGCTGCGTAGGGCAAAGCTTTGATAGGATAAATTTTTCGTGTTGTTTAGTAAAATATCCGTGCTCGGCCCTACCTTGCAAACCGCCTGCAAGCCGCTCTCATTAAATTGAAAAACCCAACGAAGAGCTGCGCGTCGGCAACTCGCCGCAGCTGAGCGAAAACAAAAAGCGCTCTAAAACCTTTATTGCAGGTATAGCGATCCCGTGATAGCTCAATGGGTAACGTATTTGACTACTAATATTAGGGACGCGTGGTGGTCTAGGTTCGAACCCATAGGGCATAGATCGACTTTGTTTCAGCTGGGAGCCAGCCAGCCAGCCACCCACCCACCCATGTGTCTGACTGATCGAGCTATACCTAACGGCGATAGCGGACGTAAAACTCGGCGGAGGTATATTTATTGTACGCTAAATACTTTTCGATGTTGGAGTTCGCTTTTAGTTGGCACAGTCGACTTTGTTATGGCTCGGGAGGGGGAACGAAGGTGGCGGACAAACAATTTTCAAGAGTCTATAAAAAGGTGACGAATCGGGTACTTTGACTATGTACTATCCTAAAACGGGTGTCTGGTAGGCAGGGTCTACGCACGTTGGCGTTCTATGCGAAACAGACACTGTGTGATTTCTAGCTAGGTTATCTATATGCTCCCTTTGAATCGTGCTGTTTGAACAATACGAAAGACCATCATCATCATATGTCCTACAATCATACTTGTTTAAAGCTACAATTGGCTTTCGTAATACCATTTCGAAATAAATGCGAGTATTTACGGAAAACGTGGGGTAGTTTGCGATTTGATTCTGAGTAGACTCGATTTGAAGTCTATCGGACCCTATGAATTAATGCACTTTGTTGAAGGCAACCCGCATGCTCTATCTTATTATTAATATGGTCTTGGCATCGATTCCGGCTTTCAGGGATATCATCTAATTACCAACGAGTTACGGTAAGGCAATGGCGCAAGACAACATAATAGTCTGGCGCTCAGAATACGTTCAAATTCACACACGTCCATTGCAGTGGTAAATCCAATTTGAATTAAACTTAATCTGGGCATCCATTAGCCAGTGAATATATAGATCGCTATTTTATCCATTACGGCATGCATATACATGCCAATGCCCTTAATGATGGGGCACACGAATGGCACGGCTTGCTATCCATGCGGATAGACGGGAGCCAATTAAAATTGAGTGAGTTGCACATAGCAAAGATTTTTTTCCCCATTTCTAATACAAATCAGCTGCAGGTGTACAGTGTAGCGGTATCGCTATACCTGGAATAACTTAGAACACTGATGGCATTGGTTCGATAAGTTACACCGATTTTGAGAGGGCAATTAAGGATAAATCTTTGGATTTTCGTTGATGATTTGAGTATCATTTCCATGTTGGTGAAGCTATCGCATTCGTCTTAACCGGCAATAAGGACAGATTATATAAAAGTCTGTTTTCCATACAATAAGCCTCGCTTTAGCTCTTTAGAACCATACGGACAGCCGCGAAAACGCGGCGCCACACAAAAAATTCATCCGAAGGTGGCCACTTGAAAAAGCTAAATAAAATAATGAGTTGATAAACTAGTTCCCAGCTCGGGGGTAGCCACAGCTGGCATCTAGGGAGCGGTGTGCCACCGTGAGTACAAGTATTGGAAATATCTTATATCCAATTGACTTGCGTAATTCAGTATACAGACTAACTGTGTAAACTCTCTTCGAATGTGCCTTTAATAGGCCATGTGTTAACCGTTTCTGAGAGAAACTCTCGCCACCGACGGGGGAATAGGACAAACACTGATTTCCTTAAGTCCACGTCAGTTACTTTGTTATCAAATCTATTTACTAAGCGTATACGGGTCGCAGGTTTCAACACCCTTATGCCTGCAGAGGCTGTCACACGTGCGACGCCTATGCCACATTAATATGCTCCGCGAAGCTAACTGCCTATAGGAATAAATTAGGCAGAGTTCTGCAAGGTTGAACTTTAGTTTGCAGATCGTGCAGTTTAATGATCATTGATTCATCTTTTCCTAATTAACCTGTCGATTAAAAAACCGCTGAAAAGATAATTGATATTGTCGGTTGTTTCGATGACCAGACGTCTCTTCGTGCACCGTTATCAACTCGAGTTTGTGATGAAAATTACTCTTATGTCGTTAAACGATCTCCTCGTATATTTGTTTAGTCAAGAACGGGCTTAAAAAAATGCGGGTACTAGGCCAGACGACAAGCTGAGTCAACTAAATTAACAACAAACCTGACATTAAAATAGCTTGAGAAGCTTTCTCAGTAATATATTTATTACTACGTATCCACGACACAGCGGTAGCATTATTTATCGCAAAATTACATTCAAATTCAGTTGGAAACATTTTACTGAGTTTTGCCAAAACCGAAAGTAAACATTTAAAGCATCAAACATTTAGATTTTATTCAGGATATTGACATTCGAAAATAGAATAGGTCACACGCTATGTAGTTCCCTACCCCTAGGTCTAGAGGGGTTGCTGAATTGAAATGCCTAATATGGTATAGGGGTGCCATTGTACGGTCTGTCATAATCGATTAGGTAGGCGGTCGATAGGGATCAGAGCCTGTCTCACAGCCATGATATTCCGTTATGATAGACGTTAATAAATAGCAAACGATAAAATTAGCGTATAGTGAGGGTAGTGAAATCCATTTTTAACTGTATTAAATGCGTTTGAAAGCAAGAAGTATCCGTGTGTATTGGTATTCATAGTTTCTCTTTTATACTGTCGAACTAGATACAGGCAATCGGTCTTTTTTTGTACAGCGAGGAACTAGTATGAGTATTATTAAATTGATGTTTTCATTTCGAACTTCTAACACAGTCAGTATAAAATATAAATTCATATACTATCAATAAATAAACTTGCGCCCCCCTTTTTGTGGCATGGTTTATTAAAACGACGAAATTATCGGAAGATCCTTGACGCCTCTATCCGTTACATGCGCCCCGGGGGGGCACAGAGAGGAAACCTGAATGCAGATTCGAGATGCAACCTAATAATGCTAATCCAATCATTTTGGGAGCGGTTGATTTCTCAGCGTCGATACGGCAGCTAGTTGTGGTCCTTGTGGGGTCTCTATGTTCAAGTTCATAGCCTAAGTAAGTTACAGGAATATATCTATTACTACTAACTGATTTTGATAGAAAACGGTTCAGGTCAACGCAAGTCCACGTGGCCTGAAAATTTGTATTATACATAGGCGGAATGCAAGAATCATTTCTAATTTGATCAATATTGTGTCTGACGCGTGCGGTGCCACCGTCATCAGGTTTGCATAATTGGCTTTCACTGCTATCCCCTAAACGAGCCTATGACCCGGGTTAGCCGACCTTACAATTGTATCTACCTTTATCTGGCTTCTGCACCACATAGAAAACAGGAAGGTTCTAAAGACCAGATCGATCAATTTTAGTCAACTCTCCCTAGCAGCCTCACTTGCAATGACAGCGGGGGAAAATTTTCGCCGTACCTATGCAATGCAGTACTTCGTTGAGTAAAGGCCTGGGCTCGAACATGGGTGGTTTGCGAGCGTTATGTCTACTCCAAAATGGCTATACTTATGGTCTCAAGTCAGCGACTTAGATTAGACGATTGCTTAGATATAGGTGAGGTTCGCCAATGTCATTCAGTGTCAATGGCCAGATTTTATAAAACGAGAGATTCAATTTTGTCTGACATATTACGGATTGTTTACTAATCTTCTCCAGTGTTGCTAGTCGTATTGAAGGTGCTCGTTCTAAGCGGTCCAGTAGTATCATCTCCAGAAAGTTGTTTTTCTACTGTGCTAACATTTCGTAAGTCTTGAAAAATAACCCCGTAGAACCTAATAATTCATAGTAGGATTTATAAGCTCACCCCATACGAGGATACAAGCCCTATATTGAGCTGTTGTTTTTTGGGTCTTCTATATATACATATATATATATATATAGTACAGGAAAAATTATACAAAGCATCTCTCGTATCACTCGCGAGAAGTAACACTAGATTATACCCGCAGGAGAATGCGTTTATAAATATGTAATAACAATATTGTTTTGTTTTCCTGTGGTGTTTTCCAGAACGAGGTTGCGGCCGCCCTGGCGGAGGCTGGTATCCCCGTGTTTGCGTGGAAGGGCGAAACCGAGGAAGACTTTTGGTGGTGTATTGATCGCTGTGTACAAGCCGACGGGTGGCAACCAAATATGGTACACGTTTTTTTTGCTTACGTCCTCACATCCGCTCGCTTATGGTCCTAGCATTATAATGTGCTATATATAGCCTTCATGTATAAAGTATCAGTATAACGTATCCGGATAGGATATCGTCGTCGGTCACTAATTCTTGCATATATATATATATATATATATATATATATGTGTGTGTAGATACACTAAGAGTTCCGAGTCCTGTGAACGATTTTATGTCCGATCCTATTGCTTTAGTCAAGCATCGTTGCATCACGTGGCTGGCGACCGCTTCGACCATCACAAAATCAACTGTGTGTGTGTGTGTGCTTACAATAGCCAGTTTTGAAGTTAACTTTTTCTCATCACGAAGTATCCCTATGTTTTAACAGGTACACGGATCGCCGAGAATGCTAATACGTGACAAGAGGGTTTGTGTGAATAAGGGAAAAGGTTGAATGAGCAAACTCAGACATCTTGCCCGCCTTTGCGTTTGGCTCGTGGCGATATCAAAAACATTGAACTTTCAGTGTCGGTTAACGGCTCGTATCTATTCCTATCCATCCAGTCTTGCTATCTCCTTCTCGCTCCATTTTGTAGAGCAAATAAGCTTGATATCGCTTGCTGCCTGTTATCATTTTTTTTTTATCTAGCCGGGATAATATGCGAAAATGGTCCTAAAAGTGCTGGCCGCTGGGAGTCGCCAGAAATGAAACTGGGTCCGAGGCTGAAGCCTGCTGCTGCTGCTGTTATCGTTTGTAGAAACATCAGCAACGATGATGCGCATACAGTTGCCTGCATTTATCTGCGTGAGATATTTTTTTCTGTATATTCCTTTTGTGGAGGACCACTGTCAAGGAAGGTCCTGACCCGTTCCTACACTCCGCCACCCCTCTGGTGATATTAGTAAATTAGGGATATGTGATTCGCAGTGCTGGTTCGTAAATCGCGCATCGGTTCCTAGATGAATTTGCTGCCGGGCAAAAAAGGAACGTTGTTAGTGAGCTTTGTGAATGTAACTTGTTGAACAGAACTTTCTCAGAGGGTACGGGGTGCGGTGGAAAACGGCCGATAAGGGCGAGAACGTAACTTAGGTCCGTTGATCGTGTCGAGAGACAGAGAGGTCAAATGCTAAAAAATTAACTTCTCTTACAACTGCTACAGCTAATGGCATCTGAACCAGCCGTGCGATGCCTGTTCTACAGCGTTCTGATACAATGCATCTAGAAGAAGAAAAAGATTTATCAGCGTGTATTTTCCAGTACAAATGCATAATGCTCAATTCATCAACTGATCAGCCATCTGAGACCACTCCGTTTTATCGCTTGTTTTCTACATATATCTACAAAGGTTTTTCCATAGAGATTCCATTTGTAGGGATCTCATCTAAAACAAACGTCTATCATGATTATTACTGATGCGCTTCCTACGACGCCACAACGTGGAATGATCATTTGATTTATATAACGCTGATGTAATTTTATTTGATGCAACAAATTAAACTGCCGAGCAGATCCTGGACGATGGTGGAGATGCCACACATTTAATGCTAAAGAAATATCCAGCAACGTTCAAGCTGATCAAGGGCATCGTTGAGGAGAGTGTTACCGGGGTACACCGTCTGTATCAACTGGCCAAGGCGGGCAAACTTACTGTGCCAGCCATGAACGTAAATGATTCCGTTACCAAGACCAAATTCGACAATCTTTATTCATGTCGCGAATCCATCCTTGATGCGTAAGTGGCACACCCGGTTCATAACGATGATAGTGGTCAAAGTTATTACACTTTCAATCGTATATATATATATATATATATATTAGGTGGGTCAAAGGCCTGCGAACAGTTTAAAAAGCCTATGCCACAGTTAAATTTGCTCGCTATTGCAAAATTTTACATATCTTTAGCTATTTTAATAGACATAGAATAAGGACGCTCTAATTCTGTAGAAATTTCCCTCAAACAGCTGCAAGGTTTTTAGGCCCAGCTAATGTTTCCTAATGGCTCTTACATTTTTCTTCTGTTTGTACAAAGCACACGGAACCTAATTAAAATAGGTATATAGGTACGTTTAACAGGAAATGATCGTCTTTTTCCAGTTGATGACGCAGTGCAATTCAACCTCCATACGAGACAAGTACGCCTCTAATCAAAGAGCTAATAACAGCTTGTTTACAGAATAACTTCGCAAGATATCACTAACCAGTTATACTAACGTTTGCTGCTTTTTTCTTATATGATTTTCGGTTTCCTTCTATCACGGGTACTACGGGACCATGTTGATCTCGTCGATGTGATACCTTGTTCGTGCGCGGACAGATTGAAGCGTTCGACAGACGTGATGTTTGGCGGGAAACAGGCGCTGGTCTGCGGTTATGGTGAAGTCGGAAAGGGTTGCTGTTCTGCCCTGAAGGGCATGGGAGCTGTCGTATATGTCACCGAGATCGATCCCATCTGTGCACTACAGGCCTGGTTAGCTAATCGTTCGTTTCTTTCTTGTCTGCTACTGCTGCTGCTTGCATTGGCTTCCCGACAATCACCGATGTGATCGGGGTGTTTCTGAACCGGAACGGTAGATGAGTGCACGTGCTCTTACATCGGGCCATTAACTCGTTGGTAGCATCGGCGAATAGTGATGTTTTTACTTGTGTTCATTTCAAGCCAAGAGAATGCATTCAATTCAAATGGCTTCCGTCATCAGTTTTCCTGATGTCACCTATAGAAAGTATCGGTGACACTTGTATCATTCAATACATACTATATTCTTATTTCGTCCTTTGTTTTACCGAAATAATATGCTCTCGCTTATCATCTGCTAACGTGCTCTTTCCCCTTATCCAGCATGGATGGCTTTCGTGTTGTGAAAATTAGCGAAGTGATCCGGAACGTCGACATGCTTGTCACCGCCACAGGCAACAAAAACGTGGTCACTCGTGAGCACATCGATAAGCTAAAGAACGGTTGTATCGTCTGCAATATGGGTCACTCCAACACCGAGATCGACGTGCAGAGCCTGCGTACTCCGGAGCTTACCTGGGAAAAAGTCCGGTGGGTGATCTTACATCACCGTTTTTTTTCTACCTAGGAAAAGCGACTAAAACTTAAAGCAGATATGTTTAAAAAAGGGATGTTTTAAGTAGAAAGCTTTTGCATCAACAGACTAATAATATACCGTCCTATTTTCGGTGTAGTACTTCTACAGACGAGTATGTACGACACTGACTAACATTGCTGATGTGTTTATGCTGAAACGTTTAAGCGAGAATACTGTGAAATGACTAATACTCATTATTTAATTCGTTGAGGCATTTGTTATTTGTGTCGTCTTAGGGATCATTTAAAATACGGTCGGCAATTAAACTCGAATAGTTAAGCCTTCTTTACGCCCCCACCCGTCCGACCTCGTCTAGGTTTGAAGAAGCGGTGTTTACTAGACACTCCTAAATCAACGTTCTCCTTCAGTCGTAGCAATAGCTCGTGCTAACGCTCGTTGCTGATCATTCGATTTTTCTAAATCCATACTAACATATATGTATATATATATATATATATATTTGGTTCTGTCTTGTACTTTTCTATGTGGCCTTTATCGATACTGCGATGCGACGACAACAACAACGACGACGACGACAACAACAACTATAATAATTACAGTTCTCAGGTCGACCACGTCATTTGGCCTGATGGGAAACGGATCGTCTTGCTTGCCGAAGGCCGCCTGGTCAACCTGTCGTGCTCATCAATTCCATCATTCGTTGTTTCAATCACCGCCGCTACACAAGCGCTTGCCCTGATCGAGCTGTACAACGCACCGGCTGGCCGATACAAGTCTGACGTGTACCTGCTACCGAAGAAGATGGATGAATACGTGGCGTCACTTCATCTGCCTACCTTCGACGCGCATCTAACCGAATTGACGGATGAACAGGCTAAATACATGGGCCTTAACAAGGCCGGACCATTTAAGCCCAATTTCTATCGCTATTAGACAAGTCAATGTTGGCGATAATTACAATGGCCAAAAAATGCTATGTAATAATCAATTACGAGGCTAACATGATGACTTGGAATAATAACAAACAAAAAACACCCCAACAGCAACAAATACAAAAGAGACAGTAAAAAAAGCAAGCGAACATAAAAAAAGTGCTGTCAATACTGCCACAGGGATATAGCAACACCGGAGAGCGAAGTCGTCGCCAAAGCTGAAGACAATGCAGCGGATACAGCAATGTAATGTAATGAATCGTTACCAAAATACCAGAGAAGATGAACACTTGGTAACCTATTCGTGTGCTTATCGTAAAATCCGTTCTTGATGGGGTTTCCGTGCTGTTTTTAGTACCACTTGGTGACCCTGCTGGATTAGTGCAAGCATTCCACCGGGCTGTTTATGTGTATGTGTGTGTCTATTAGATTATGTGGAACGGTTTAGTAACGAAGCATAATTGACAACATAGATGATCTATGGCTTGCTGCTATTTTTGCAAGACGTATACAAGCAGACGGCGTGTTTTAATCTGGTCCAGCAGAATAGCAAGTTTCTGGAACTTTCAAATCAATTGGTATAAACAACTGGGTTGAAATCGAAGGACAACCCGATTGGGTTTTCGTTGAAAAGCCGTTTCATACGGAGCAAATTCTGCATGAAGTTCCTCGCTTGTTTATCGTCTTATAAGTCTATACAAAGCAAGTCCATATTATATAGTGATCGAACGGTATGCATGAGTTTTTTTCTTGTTACAATATGGCGAATTGGCTGTGCTGCTCGATCGACAACACTGCGACTATAGTACAGATGCGCGGGTTGCAGTTTACTACCGGGATGTTAGGCGGTGCTATGACATGATCAGATCTATCTACGCCTTTTAGTCCTTCGGATTTTTGAAGGGCTCATTGTCCGAAGCGTATCTTTCATTTGATACAATCACACCTTCTCCAGATAGTTTTCGAAATCCCCTATTGCCGCCGCGTTCAAGCTGGAGTGCAGTGGGCGTTGATGGATGCGTGTGCAATCGTAAAGGGCAGTCCAAGGATTTGAAGGTTGAATTAGATGAAATAATCCTGTTTACGATAATAGCCTATTGATTAACGTCCCTTTGAAGCGAAGCCGTGTTCTAATGTCAAACCCTTATTAAAACGCATTTCGCAGAATTGAAGGACCGAAAGGAGTTGAATCCAGTTTGGATCCAAAACAATGATGTTTTTGGCATACTTTGATGACCCTGCAGGAGGCACTTCCAGGAAGAGGCGTGCAGACATGAAACACGCAGACGGATAATGTGGGTTATTATCGAACTCCGATAGAGCAATGATAGTGGCGATTATAATTACTAATCTTAGTAATACGGCAATTTTTATTATATATAGATATATTAGTATTTGCAAGCGAGAGTAATTAGCGAAGAGCTACGTAACATTTGTAAGCCGCTGCTCGAGTACTATAATTGCGCATCCAGAGCACGATCCTGTCGTTCGTTAGTATTAAGGAGCAGGGCAAGGACGAATAAGAGAGCCATGCAAGGACCGCTGCCTGTGCTAGACGTCCCTATTAGGCGTCATGTTATGGCGGGGCGCTTAATCAAACACAATGTTACGAAAATCATAGAGGGATCAGAAAAGAACGTATGCGCAAAACAAATATCCGTTCAGAGCTGAAAGTAATGGCGGAGCAGTGAAGACATGGTGAAATCTAATTACATGGATGCTTGCAGCAGAAATCACTCTTTAGCTAAAGAATACGACTCATACTGCTGTTCACATAGCTACTATTGAAGTATTAGCACGGCTTTTTCGTAGAGATGAGGTTAAACGCTAGCGACTATATCAAACGTCCAGGGGAACTTTGGGACTAACGCAGGAGGTAAGTTACAGGGCTAAACGGTTACAACAAAAGAGCAGATGCAAGATGTGAAGTTAGGTGGAAAAACAAAATGATGCCTATGAGCGAAAATAGGTTACAACAAACTGGAGATTGTCAGAATGTTTAGAAAGGCGCGTGCCTCTTATATTGCCAGGACTGCCCTTAGGGCCGCACATAATATATGCTACCGCCATTGTTGGGAGGGAACAAAAGTTGCAAGGTACGAAAATTATGCTGACAATACAAAAAACCTCGTCTCTCTGTGTAGTGCAGCTCTACAAATTGAAAATGCTGGTAAGTTATGGAGATTGTTCAAGTCAGATTTTTTAAATAGAATGATTAAATGGTTAAAAAGGCCTATTTTATCATAAGTGAAGGACATCCTGACTAATCAATTGATCAAGCCTTCGCCTTCGAAAGGAGATAGAGATACATCATATGCCGAAGCTCCTACAAACACCATATGTGTTAACGCTAGCTAGTACCGAGTGAATAGCTCTAAACTATGGAGAGTGATACAACAATATCATAGTGCTGAAATAAAACCCCAGTTCCCTAAATCGCGACGGTTATGAGCCCCGGTGACCGTTGCATATCAAGAGATGCCATCCAATATATATATAAACAGATATTTCGCTAATAATTGTCATTATTATAACCCTATTATATGAATATTCTGGTTATCACAATTAATATTGATATTTATAATAAATTTAGTTGTATTTTCAGGAACAAGATGTACATCGGCGAGAAATATGTCGAACGGTAAACAAATCTGTAAATGAGACATATATATATATATATATATATAGATATATATAGAGAGAGAAAAAAAAAGAAGAAAAAAACGAAAAAATGTATTGAAACGTAAGCCACCTTTTGAATATATGGCGCGTATTTCGAACTGCGTAGCGGCAAATGATAATATCGAACGTAATGCACAGTCAACGACTGCTAGGGATGATATTATAGATGTCCGGTGTGGATTAGGACATAGACAGAGCTTGAAGCATAAGAACGAAAGCTGTTCGATCGTTGCGGCACTCGTTTTGCTTAACAGAAAACCGTCTCTCCTACAACAGGACACAGCCCCGCTTAGGAAGTATTCAACCACATCCAGATTTAAGTAGCCAACTTTCCGATGATACAGCGTCTTGCTACGTGTCTGGGTCGGGAAGCCTGTAGAATCGAATACATCAAATCTGGAGTCGTCTCGAAACTTGAAAAGTTCCAGTGTTTCTCATGTTCACATCTACATACGCACGCCCAATAATTGGTTTTTAATCATTTTTTGAAGGGTTAGAAAAATATACACGATAAAACAAGTAAAACAAAAATCGCAGTGTCAACGTTACTGTGTAAAAGTATAGCATAAATACAGTAACAACGCTAGTAGACTGGAGCAAACGCGAAGAGGCAAACGAAGATTCATTATTCTAAAGAAAGAGTCGCACCATTATATAGTACATTCTAGTTAAAAACAAATATTAAAAACAACGATGTTTTTGTTTAACTCGTTTTGTTCAATTGACGTGAGAGCCATTAGATAATTGATGGGACTATAATTTAGCTGCAATGAAAGCCAATGCCTTCATTTTCTATAAGCGAAAAATGATAACATTTACCCAATATTGAATATTTGTCAAAGATTTTATTGTATGGCAATATATGTGTGTAAGGTTGGTATCGATAATTAAAAGAGCCTAAAACACCATATTAAATTTACTCATATTTATTTAGAGTGTTTGAAACTATTAATCAGATTGAAATTTGTTAAATAAATAGGCCTTCTGCTGAGTTTGCTCGAGAATTGGACACTGTTGCAATTATGTCGTTCTCAATATAGACCATGCTTATTAATAAATAGTCCCGTAGATCAGTGCTACTTGGAAATTAGTTTACATTATTTAATTTTCGGAAAATTTGTAAAAAAAAAATCATAAAAATGACCTATTTTTCGAGGTAGCAAGGAAAAAGTGCGAGAAGTGATGGATCTCATACGCTCGAGTAATGCACAGAGCCCGAGTTGAAACTAGTCCACCTTGAATTAAAAGTAGCGGTGCTTTGTCTCTTAAATAATCGCGATTTTCTTTCAGCCACGTTAAAAAAATATTTTACTGCCTTAACTATGTTTGTACTAACAATGAGAATGAAGTATTGAGTATCAGGCACGCTAAATCGAGGCCCTTGGCCTTTCTCTAGCTAACACACAAAAACAGATACAGAAAAAATAAATGGGAATCTTCATAACGAAGAACGCCGCGTGTAAACATGCGCCTTTGCATGACGCTCTTGCCATCAAGGCCTTATTTCAGGCATCATGGGAGTATAGAATATATATATACATGGGAAAGAGCGTGAGAAGCACAAATAAAGAACACGACTCCGTTTATAGTATACGAACGCTTGGTAAATAGTATCGATGCAAGAAGTGGCCACACTTTATACAGAAAAGATTACTGAACATGAGCGAAAATGAATACATTTATTTAATGGTGCAAAAAGCAAAGCAAGCAGGCCTATTGCAGGGACTAAAGCGATGCACGAGGTGAAAAAGTCTGCAAGTATACATGAGATTTGACAAATGTATCTTAATATGTGCAATCATTTTCGATCAGGGGTTGTTTCTGAACGACAAGAAGTCAACTAACTACCAATTGACCCACACTTTTTAGAGTGTTTATATGTTTCATGAAAGAGGAAAAAACAAAAAAGCTATACTTGACGTCAATTCCGCTAGTTCATCCCCCGAAAGATTTGCCCCAGTATCGTCACGTTGGAGTGAATACATAATAAGGCCCCTAATAAAATAACTATAGTATACAATGACCAGTCTGCATCAAAGTTGACGTAACCCTTTCAACGAGCGGAAGTTATTTGACAGACACAATGCATATACACACAGATTTATGAAAAACTATTGCTTATTCTGATACTTTTTAACGGGTAACTTCCGTAAGCGAACTTTACGAGGAAAGAAATGACAAGAAACGTCACCCACGCAATACGTAGAGTTGTGCAGCTAACTGAACAGGAATAAATCTGATTCCAGCATTTACCGGGTAACAGTAGAGTGGCCTAGCTTGTAATGGCTGATTATAACAGGCTTCATCTACCTGTGCCATTAATTTATATATATATATATATATATATACATATATATATAATGTATGAATTAATTTTTAAGTTATCATGCTGCTACGAAATAATGTAGCGTCGTTGGTAACCGATGAAAATCTATTGGCGTGGACAATACCAAAAAAATAAAGCAGCTTTGTGACTGGTGTATTAAACAGCACGAACAGCAGAGCTTTGAATTAGAAATTGACATAAAAATGAAATTTGAAAGAAATGCCTTATACACTTTTTCCATGCCTAAAAACTTAAAGCCGTTTGCTGATTATCACACACTTGATTACAGTAGGATTATCCAATAACAGCTCCTTTCTTGAAAACAGCCCACCATTTATAGTATTACAATAGTGATAACGTTAATAACAAAATCTAATATAATAAAAAAAAAAACAAAATATGAAACATATTTTTAAATACACCGATGACATACGTCAATGGTTATGCGTGACACCGGACGGATAGCAACAGCATTTCATTCGTGCACACGTAAACTGTGACACAATGTCCGCTTGTTTGTTTTTTTTTTAATTAAATTAATAACAAAAAATCAGTCTGCATAGATACGGACGGTGCAAAAGGAGCACACGAGCGTTGCCACTAAGATTAGAAACGATGACGCTTTCGATAAAGCGTACTCAGTCACACAGAAACAACATGAGTTAATCATAGGAACTATATAAACTTGCATCTGTACATCAGTAAGTCAATGAAAGCGTTCACAGACACGCAACCACTTGTTGACTCGTGGCACAAGTAAAAACTACTATATATCTATAGTATTTTTCACGGAAAAAAAGGCATGGGGAAGGATGGCAAGGAACGCTTCTATCAACAAAACAAGCAGGTACGAAAACGATACTGTCGCTATGCCATTTGTTAAAGTACAAATACCCAATTTTACGACTCTATGTAGGGTGACTAATAACATTAACAATAATGATTACTGAAGATAACTTGTACGAAATCCAAAGGGAAATTGATTAGCGTGCGTCACCAGGCATGTACAACATTCGTCAGCGACAGTCTTACGATCTTCCAGCTCTGAATGCGCAACATGCGCAGACACAGACACCTTTTCTATGAAGCGTGATGGATACACGGCGTGAAAGTAGCACCCGGACACTGCGGCCTGCAAGAATAGAAAGACAAATAACCATAAATCAATACCTTTCTCAAAATATTATTATAAGGTTAACGACCGGAGACAATTCCAATAGGACAGAGCGGTGCATAAGTAGGCAAAGCACAGTGGCAATGTTATGCTCTTGTGGCCATACCCTATTTCAATCCTTGCTACTGCATATTGTACTGATGAAGATCTACCAGCTTCGTGATGCAGTGTCTCGGATAAGGTGTCCGAGACATTGCATTGAAGAATACACGACGCATAATAACAATAATAATAACAACTATAATTTGCTTTCTCTGGGTGGACGAGTGTGAAGGTAACAGGTATACTGGAAAAGCATCAAGAAATGGAATAGGCAAAAATATGACTACTTCCAACATTGAACAGCAAGCAACATCAAGATTAGAAACACAATCAATTTTATCTTCCAGAAAATCGCAGAGAGTGCGTGTGTGTGTGTGTGTGAGAGAGAGAGAGAGGGTGGGGGTGGGGGGGCACAAATCCATAAGGAACAACTGGTGGCTAGAAGAGATCTTAGCTGCTGTCTGATTAATTAAATGGGGCGTTAATAATGGACCGACCTTTCGACACATGACAACTCTGGTAATTTAAACAATTTAAAATGGAAAAAAACAATCGTGCGTACGAAAGGATATACATACGCGTTCGTGCCGACACTACGGAAAGTTTACCGTACCATGGTGTTCGTGGCACTGAGAAGCACTACAGTTCTATGACAAAAGTGGAACTGCAAATACTTCTGTGACAATAAACTTCAGAGGACAATGATGAAGAAGCTCCATTTTCAATGTCCGTGGATGTTACTACGAATAAGTTAAATGAAAATCCTACGCGTTTTCTCAACTATGACCAACTACTTCAATCGTTCCAAGATTTCTTTCCTGATACCCCAATACAAATTAGCGGATAATTTTTACCGATTTGTTAGAGATAATTAATTACTAGTAACATCGTACTTAGGCAAATGACGCTGTAGTTAACGTCGTTCCGAGGCGACAATGTCGCATCTACGTTTTAATAGCGCATACAAACCTAGACGTCGTTTGGTGCGTCTGTTATCGAGCCCTTGCTTGATAATGTTAGTTACGATAATAACGGACGATATAAACGCGATTAATAGTAATGAACGTCAACAAAATTGCGTACGAAATTATCTGAGCACTTATTCCCTTTTTCTGTTGCAAGCAAGGTATGTCCCATACGTAGCACTGTCAGCGTATTCCCCTGCGTCAAACTATAGTTTGTAGTTATAACACTGGGTAGATATATTCATCAACCAAGCAAACGAAGAAGATCGGCCTCCTATAATGAATGGATTTTAACATTAGCTCGCGCTCTAGTACGTTTGTAATGATGACGTTACCTTGCCAGTCCCACGTAACGTACAGGATAACGTTTATGTCAGTCAAAGCTTTCTACCATTCAAGGCCATCGCTTCTGCATCATCGATCTCTGCGAACATATGTGTATATATTAAAAAAAAAAAAAAAAATAGAGTTATGTTCGTAGAAAGAACAAGAAAAACAAACATTCTATGCGGGCAGCGTGATGACAAATGTCTGCCAGTGGTAACAGATTAAATAAAACTGGCTCGGGGCCTAGGTAGGTAACCGCTAACAGAAATGTCCCGTAGAAAACGACTCTGATTACCAGGCCCTACCATGCACCAAGGAAAAACACTTGAATTTTGATAGGTAATACGTTGGCTAATGGAGAATGCTCTAATCCAAGCTGTAATTGTAATTTCTTGCTCTATCGGTAGAAAACTGAATAGGAGGACTGAATATTGAATTATGAGACAAATTTTTATCCAGATGCTAACGATTTTATTTAGTACATATGAAATAAAGAAGCCAGATGTCTGCGCTCCAATCATCCCGTCAATTCATTGCGTAACTGTGGAAAGTAGTAGCTATGAATAAGTTCAATGAGACGTTAAATACCCCTAACTATCGAATACGTGGCAAGGCCGAATCTACAAGTAACGGAACAAGTTTAGCAAAAATGACCGTTTTGAGCCTATGCATAGAGCTCCTACATGTGCTGGCAAAAGTAGAACCATCACTGGGCTAACTAGATGAGCATAAAAAAGCAGAATCTATGCAATCTTAGAAAATCAAATTTGTAAACGTTTTGTTGAGAAGATTTAACGCTTTTGTTATAACGTACTATTGAAGGTATCCGTTTTTATATGTCATCAATTTAAAGCCGTGTTCTTTTTGTTGGTTCTTTATCTAGAGAATTGTAAGCCATAAAGGTAATAAAGCCTCTTACTGATTCAATTGAAAGCGAGCGAGTAGAGTTATCCTCCTTAGTTTGAAGGCCAGTCCCCGAATTTCCGGTAGGTACGAGTAAACCGTCAATTATGTTACACAAAAATGACGATAAATCCGTGAAACGCGGACTCGATTTCCATAATTCTCTTTTCATAAGCCACAGAATCGATACGAATATGTTAAATAGGAACTTATGCTCTACAGTACGGAGAACCTTTAGTTGTTTATCCGCCAAATAGTTGTACTGTAGCCCCAGTCAGTCATTGCGGTCGACGACTTGCGGCCCCTTCTAACATCGAAAAAGGTCTGGCTGGACCTAATTTCGAATCTGGACCATCTTACTTCGTGTCCATAGGACTTGTTAACATTGCACTGTTCCATGGGGACCTTACCGAAAAAAAGAAGCTAATCTTACGTTCCTGCTCAAAGGATCGTCGTTACCGTTTCCTCTATTAATCGACACACGTATTCACCTTCGATGCGGCTTCCCATATATTCCGAAGAAGAACCCACGTTAGCTATAGGGTTATGGCCAATTTTTGTAGGGCTCGCTTGTAAAGTTGTTTTCTGTTTCTGTGCTTAGAGTATGTGCTTATTGATGGGCATAGCAAGATGCAAGGGTATACCGTCGCCCTATTATATATAATTTAATTAGGTATGATTTTGATAGAATATCTCAATACGAAAATGCACATCATGCAAATATAATATCGATTGCCGAATCGTCATTAGCTCGAAGAAAGCTAATCGATTTATTAAAAAGAACTATTTAACATTTGAGTAGGCATAGCTGGTAACTGGGCTATCCCAGTAATTGCAGTAACAGGCAAAATAGAGGATGACCCAAAAGCTCATCTGGTAGTTTGAGAGTTGCACTCGATAAAGTAGCAAGAGTAGAAAAAGTTGAAAGTTCTCCAACTATCGGAAAACTTCTGCTCCGCCCTAAACCTAAACTAGTTCGATCTTGCAGTTTATTTTCTTGCATCTACTACGCTACCGGCCATCCACTTAGAGGTGTCACAGATTTGTAGCCTTTATCCAGACAGGTTAGTAGAGTAATCCGACTGGCAACCAATCAGACGCTCATTAAGCGAGATCCCTTTAAGCATCAACCAGTCGGTCCAGCGAAAGGAAGCTGCATTTGATTCATCTTTTTGGCTGAAGAGTTTATACCTCATATACTTCACGCCTGGCAACCTCAGCCGATCACTTTGAAACCGAGAGCTAGTGCGAATTTACTAGACGAGCTTGTTGTTCCACCGCCGGCAGCATTTCACGCGTACGTACCTATCCTATGAAAGTGGAAGCCAGCTTCACATGGCCAGAGGTACTACAAGCGTTGTCGGTGCTCGTGCGCGGCCTGCAGGTGTGGTGATTCGATGCGGTAATTTCAAATCTGTGTGTGACTCTTTTTTTTATTCGGAAGCCAGCAGAGGTAGCAGTCGGGTGTCGAAGATGCCAAGTTCGTCATCGCATCAAGAAGCCGAGGATGAAAGGGCCACCGCCGTCACGACGATGTCATCAAGTTCACACTTCGACATTGGTCAGATCAAGGATGCGCTGATAAGTTGACCGTCACTAATTGGCAGACTAATGCAATAGTCCCTCCTTGAATCTGTGCGAACGCCGGTTATCGCCTTTCCGTGCGCGGAGCCACTTAAGAGTGTATATAAGAGAAAACTGTCTAAGTTTTCGGTGCCACATTAGGCTGTAACTTGGACGCCAACATGAAGATCTCTATTATTGTAATTCTTGCGACGCTCGTGTGCGTGTCAAGTAAGTACAGTCACGCATGCTTTACGTCCGGTACTGAAGCCGTTCAGAATTGCCTCCATTAGACAACCGACTCTCAGTACGAAACGTGTCTACGTCCGGTTTTGAAATTGCAAGATGTTCCTAAAAATAAGCAACTAACCCCTAACAGACAAACGCGTTATCCACTCGATCTTTAGGACGTGTGAAGCCGCAGCTGTGGCTACAGCTTGACAACTTGAGAACGTTGCCTAATTTACCTAAGTTACCACCACCGAAACTCTGTAGGCGAGCCTTGCATATAGTCGTGAAGGCACATTTATCGACTAACTGCTGGGTGGTGCCATTCGATTCACTATCAGTAGCAATTAATTAGTCGGCAAGCAGAAATTGTATAAAAAAAAAGAACATGAAAGCACACACCTTATACAGACAAAAGGGAGCATCTCGCACTTAGATAAAATGAGGCCATTTGCGCATTTTCGACACATAATAGCTTTTTTTTTTTAAGATTTTATTTTATTCAATGGCTTCCGTAAGTATGGTGCGTTTACTACAACAAAACAATTTTATTAGATTTGAATTCATTATAATATAATAATTATATTTGAATAGCTTTGTACGGTGTAAATGAGAGGCGAGCGTCTTGCTTGAAGGAAGAACGTTCCTGACGTGTAAAAATCGTTTTTACATACGTTTAACCGTAGATCTCAGGCGGCGCAGTAGTGAGCGTTCTAAAGGGTTTAGCCGAAAGGATCATTCTATACAACTGACTAGATGAATCCTTATTTTACACTATAACACAACGTACCGTACAGGTTGGCATATGTGTTAACCAAAATCCCATCCCGCGAACACTTGTACGCCAAGGTCCTAAGCAACAGATAAGGTAAAAAGTAGGACATTGTATTTCGCTTGGTTCTTCTTTCCTTGTAATTTACAAACGTCACACTATTTCTCGTATGCCGACATAGCACGCCGTTAACTTTATGCTACGGAGCCGTGTGCACTTCTAACACCCGGGATATTCTAGGTATTTGACTCGAACTGAGATATAGATTCGTTTGTATGAAGCACAATACAACGCCAATGCATACAAATCGAATAGTGCTTTGGCTACCGAAACGTGTCCGTGTTTCTATTAGAAATGTACATAGATTTAACTCTGTCGTTAACTACGCAGGACATAAAACGTAACGTGTTGTCATAATCATAAAAACACTCTGTCAAAAATTAATAGTTATGGTCTGTACGTATCTCAAAGGCATGCTAGTTCGTTAATAGAAAACCTTACCTGATTTCTTTTTATTAACTTCTTTTATTATTAAGTAAAATTAACCCTTTTCAGTTTAATTCAAATACATAAAGCCCTCTAATTGCACGCGAAACCACTTCTGGGTGAAACGCAAGTTCCAACGTCGTGAGAGAATCGGGTACACTAAACTGTCCTATGGTTTTTTTCAGCCGCTTGGCGCATAAATCCATATGTGCGTCTCGGATATGATGTTTCCCCTTATGTGCCTGTTGTGTACGGAATGGGCTATCCATACTACAACAACGCGTATACCCCACTGGGAGATCTGTACGGTTATGGATATGGCGGATATGAGGTCAGTTATCCGAGTTACAGACTAAGCAACCTCGGTTACGGGAAAGTGACCGTGAGCGGCGGCAATCGGGCAACCCCTTATCGTAATTAGATGCCCTACCCTGTTGAAGCCTATTGCACCATTACACCTCGTACGCACCCGTCGACCACCTATTGAAACTACCGCTTTGTTTTGGCTCCATTGGCAATGGAGTAGCTTAGATATACGATCATCCCGTGTACACCTAGTTGCGTCGGTTCAATTACATCAATAGCTTGAAACCGTGTGCCATCTTCGTTGCGACAGGGATAATTCTAGCCACCATTGTCAGCGTGCTTGAGCACGCGTACGTATTCGAGCTCACGCCACGTGTCCAATTTACAAGTGATATTGTATGGTTCTTCTAGAAAAAGCTTCGATGAAGACGACTATAATAATCATAGGCACAACAACAACAACAACAACAACAACAACAAGCTGAAGTGCATAGTGAAGAAGTTCAATGGAAGGAATAACTTACTGACGGTGGCACTTCCTGCATTCGTATTCCTCTCGTATTACTATAGCTGGTATCGTCCATGATAGTTATAATGGCGATGTTAATGATGACAAATATACATGTATTTAAAATTACCATATCAATGTTAAATCGTAATGGAACAGTGAAGGCCTGTTATTTAGGAGGAACCAAGTAAAAAAAAGTGTAATAAAAAATACTTAAGGAACAAAGCTAAGTGTAGTAATTGATAGTAGCGTTATATACATCACGTTCTGAAGACTCTATGGGCGAATTGTTTTAGCACAGACATCCGATTTTTTACAATATATTATTGGATATTTACGCCTCGCGAGGAACATTACTGTAAAAACAGAGTCGGAAACATGTTGAAATTACTCGCCTGTTAATGATGAATAGCGTAGAAAAAATCATTAATATGCACGAGGCAGCATGATAAGGTGTTGAACCTTTTGCTTGAATCACATTTTTCACATTAGACTTCAGTTGAGTTTGATTTTATAACATACATTTTGTGGATAGCACATACACACAAACTACAGATACATAATTAACATAAAAACAAAAAGAAAATTCTTACAATGAATTTCTATTTTTCAACCTAGTTAGAAATACCGTCATTAAGATGCCATCAAATCCTTCAAGCCATCAAATTCGTGCAGCTTTTAAGGTGACGAGAAAACCTCGTGAGGAAATATTGTAGAAAGCGTGAAACAGGCTTGAGGCACCCTTCAGCAAGTAGTTCTAATTTGGATATGACTAATGTTACTTACATTGTCGTAGCACAATGCGTATAATTTCTTTAAAGAAGTCCATGCCGTTCGTGACGACTCGTACGATTCGTGCCGTTTACGGCTCCTGTTTTGTGATCTGTCGGTGAACGTCTATCTGCTAACCCCAAAGACACATGATAACCTGAGTTTGAAACTAGATAATACCACCCCTTCGTCTCGCACCAAGGGCCAGCTATCTGAAGCAATACTTAATGGCAATAACGGACATAAAATTCGAAAAATTTATGGGCCTACTTCAGCAGATTCCGTTTTTCAGAAATCGTTTATACTATTGTGTTGACTTCAGTGAAGAAAAATATGGAGCTGGCCTGGCCCACAGCAATAGTAACAACTAGTAGCCGGGTCCTATACGAGCACCTAAGGTTTTAAGGAGTTCTATATGAAGAGGCGGTCTAAGGAAAACATTTTAATTGCTCGGACTACATACCGTTAGCCGTAGGGACCAGCTCTAGAGGATCGAGCATGTGACGAAAAATCTATGCGTCCCGCGCGATAGCGTTGTGGAACGGCGCGCCTGTGCGTATTGTTACCCGAAAGAACATGTAAAGCAGTTTCGAAAATTGAAATTACAAGACATACATTTTTCCTAAATATGCAGCAATCCGCTGAGATCTGATACAGGCCGTCTTCACTAGATTTCATAACCGAATCAAAAAAAGAAAACACGGCATTTTATGGGATGCTAACATAAACTAGTCGAAAAGATGCTTTTAGTTTTACGCCCGGTGTTGCTGTTGTACACTGTTTCAGATGGCTGACTCTTCCACCGTGAAACGAAACGTGAATCTGCCGTTGGTTCTAAAATGTTTTCGTTTTGTTGGTACGAATGAAGGCATGTCGGCACCCCACTGAGACAGCCGAAACTGTTCATTCAGTAGTTCGCAATAAAGGCTTCGGGGTAGGACTCTTGTAACAGGTCTTCTGGGAAGGATCAAAGTCCATCCGCCGGCTATACTAAATCATAATTCTCGTTTTTCTCCACGAACCTGGCACGGCCTTGCGCTTATATACCAATTCACCTGTTCGTAAATTAGAAAACAAAGACCTTACCGCGAAGTCGTCATCGAAGCCCTTATAGGTCAGTTCAGAATAGTCTGTGGTGCTATATGTGTCGATGTTTTGCCATCAGTAGAATCATTTCAAGCAATAAATTGGAGCACAATAAAAATCTGTTACGGACTGACGACGTCGAACCACCACAGTAGCCTTCATTGTGCATGGGCTTCACTTAACGATATGTTGAAGTCTTGTGATATACGAACGACATGATGCCTCTCAACTAAACTATCAGCATCCTTTGCTGCATTTTTAACATCCAAATCAAACTATATTCCCAAAAAAAAAATAGCTCGAATAGATCACCAGTTTTATTTTGAAAAACTAGCATGTTCCATAACGTTCTATTCATAATTCACGAAAACATTTGAACGATACTCAAGCGGAACCCGTAAGGGCGATTTCGTCCATATGAAAACCATTAAGCAAGAATTAGATAAACCATCATTACTTAACAGCTACGTGCGGTAACGAATTTTAAATCCGGTTAAGATTGCCGTTAGGTATCCATCCGATGGCTGGCTCCGAGCAGGAAACGAAGTCTGTTTATGTCTAGATCGGGACGTGTCTCTAATACCAGTGGGCAAATACGTTAACCGTTAAGCTGATATGGCGACAGCAACGTTAGAAGACATCGGCCTTCTGATATTCGTTCGGATGAATTTCGTGGTGAAACAAAGTTAGTAATCAGCGTTGAATGTAAAGCGCGTGGAAGCAGGATCGGTTTCTGTGGAAAAGTCACCGCGTCTCCTTTATGCTTTTGCGTTTGGAAAGTTTTGAGCCTGCTGCTAGTTGTTGAGAATCCGGCACGGTCATACGAAAGCTATTAACAACGACGTGTTGTGAACGATACCATTACCTCAGACGGTTGCTCCCTTGTGTTCCCGCTCCTCGTCCCGTTCGTGTGCTTAGGTTAAGTAGGCAAACACGTTACCGTCGCCTTATCATGAAATACATCCTATAATACATCCTATGCTATACATCTTAGGATCCTACGAGAAGATCCTAGGATGTATAGCAGTTGTCATCAATTCTAGAGGGCTATCTTCATTTAATCATTATTGTTTCTATAGTCGATAAGAGCCGATATGCCGCAACGTCAGCGGCAACGGTACGACAAGCGATAAACTTGTTACTTTGCACTTTTGGAAACTTTTGAGCCAACGCATCGAACTAAATTTGTTTGGAGAAACAAGTTGAAGCTGAGATAATCTCAAAAATAAAGAGGTTAATTGTAAATACAACTGCTGAGAAAAGTCGGGTTATCTGCAACACTTTCAAATCGCTGGAGGAATTCATTTTCTTGTTCAGTCATTGAAAAAGCTATCTCGCAGTGCATATATATAAAGCGGGGCAGAGATTCTATTAAAAAAAGACAAATCAGTTTCCAGTTTATACAAACGCTTGTTCATCTACAACCCTACTTACAACTGGAAACCTATTATTTGCCAATTTCTACACTTAAGTTATTTTCTATTGTAAGCGCATATTTTCGTTAAGGGAATATACCAATACCATTCAATGAATTAATTAAAAGGAGTGAATCAGAAGAAGAAAAATATCCTACGTTTTCAGTCGATTACTTATCGTCTGACTAGGGTCCGAGCGCGCATAATTGTTTCCGGGCGCAATAAATTCATAAGCTTTTTTCAGCTAAAGAAACGAAGTTTCAATAGACGTACACACACCGACGTAACGTATAGTAGCACTGAGTGCTTATTTGTCATAGATCAGCATGTCCGTCCGATCCCACATATATATTTTCCTCTAATTAAGTTCAGCGACCAGCCAGAGCGGGAACTTACGTTAAGCCCTCTCTAAAATAGCAACGCCTGTTTCCTGTACAAATCCGAGCAGCGCCAGCAGCGCCGCGGATAACGAATCTGAGAAATGTCTTGGCGGCTACGATTAATGCGCAATGGACCAGGCCAAACGATTCGCCGAATTGGTCGGGCAGTTACAAAAGCTGCCCAGGCCCTTACAAGCGATCTAATCCGATCTACTACAGAGGACGAACAAGAGCTAGAAGGAAATCAAGCCCGAACTGGCGAAGAAGGCTGCGCTGACGTGGAAGAACAGCGTGATCAGAGTGGTGATGGCGACCGAGCTGAAACTGATCAGGAAGATGACTCTGAGGAAGGAAGCGAGAATTCTGATACCTCAACGGTTGGCACTTCGGCCAAGATACGCTTAAGAAGACAGCACAAAAAGCGGTTCTATCAGGGCCGTGACGACGTATACGCTCATCAGTAAGTTCGGCCTGAATCGCTACTGTTTCTTGAAACTCCCTCCCATCGAGATAATTTCCACAATCTAAGGACAATATTATAACTACGGCCTATCTCTTGGTGGGTCTAGTTCAGACTAATATATGTAAGGCAATTTCGGAGAACGCTTATGCGTTACAGGCATTTGTAATATCCATGATGCCACTGAAACGACGTGTTCGTCTGCGAAACATAGCAATATGTGGTTTTAAATCAAACTGGGTCTAGACCTATTTGCGTTCTGGTGAAAGCCACCCGTCTGAAGCAAAATTTCTTTATACTATCGTAAGTAGGATTTGAGTTTGTGACTATTTCAGATGATCCCAATCTTTAAATGAGCAATCTCTCACAAAAATTTCAGAAGTTACATTAGATTAATTTTGGGGACGTTTTCTTCTTGCTGCAGTGTGGGAAATAAGACGTAATTGGTCTTTTGGCTTTTAGACCCTTTTATAATTAGATTTACTAGATTTAATAGAATTTAGCTAAAAACAATTTCTATGAAATGGATTACTACAGTGTCGTTGCAAATGGTGGCTCAGTATGCAATTACATTCAATCTGAATAAAGTAGCATTGCACAATCTGCCTGTACTCCTTGGTTCCCAAGCCGGAGGCTCTATTCCCTGGCGGATCGGCATAAGTGGTTACCGTCCTTAAAACCGAAGAAAACTGACATTATGTGGCCATCAATGGGTAGGCATGGCAAAATAATTCCAGAAGCAAATATTTCATCGTATACTTGAGGATCAGCACCCTTACATTGTCTGCCCCTTACCGGCCAGCTGAAAAACATTTAAGTTCTCTTCGAAGCTCCTCTACTAAGCTTTTGTATTGCCCCGTCTGTGTCCAGATATGTTTACAGAATTCTGGCGGAAGCCGGCATCTATCAACAGCCGAGAGAGACCACGGAAGGCGAGTGTAACAAGTATCAAACGACCACATTCACTATGGTCGAGACGACACTATCGGTCCTACGGGCGATGCGCGCTCTCGATGCCAAAAATCGGGGACAGCTTATGACACGTGTCGCCACTCTGATTTCTAGTGAGGCACAACCATTATCGCCGGGCGTTTTGTACAGATAGACAACAGAAAGACTAGGCCCTAAGTCCTATTTGTACCGTTCTGAAAACCTTCCTGTGCGCGATAAAGCTATTCCACAAACAAAAACACACGTATCTTACAGGACCACGCGTTTCTCTATGCGTGGTGAACGAACCTTGTCAAAAATCAGGGAAAATCCGAACAAACAGGAGGAAGTCTCGTCTGGTGGGGGGTTACTATTGGAAATACACAAGGAAAAGAGATAAAAATCTTATGTGATATATTATGACGATGGCGGATTGTTTGTTGTTGTATGTACAATAATACAATAAAAGCTAACCACAGGTGCTACCGGAGTAAGTTTTTTAAACCGATTATATCTTCGTTAACACGAAAATTTAGTGTCATAAGAGTAAATAAGGCAAACAAAATATATACATTGCGGGATGTTCTTCAGTTCCAATAGCCCAACCGTAATATTGGCGCGTAGAGTAGAAGGGTAGATGGGAATGTTTGCATGCGTAACCTACATACCGAAAGTATGAAGTGTCCATGTGGAACGGTGTTAAGCGGAGTTGTGAAACATGTTACTTCGAAGACTGCCCAGAAATACTCCGTACAAATATTGAAGAAACGATAAACCTCGTTTTCGTGTCTGAGAACTACGCAGCAGAGAGCCCAAAAAAAGAATAGGGCTCAGAAAGCGCAAACGATGGTCGCCAATAATTTGTATATGTTTCGTTGTGCGATGCAATTGTGACCACATCCGTTAATACCAGACGCGATGCTTCGATATTCCCTGTAATGCGATCTGTTCACCCAACAGGCCATCAACTACTGAATTCAGTGTTTATTAATATCTTTGTTTTACAGAATTATTTCTCAAGAGGTGTCGATTCGATTTTGCGTATGACTCTACGGCGTGGACAGACGCACCTAGACATGGGCGATTTTCCCGTTTACGTCCTGTTTCTAGCGCTGCCGTTATGCGTCGTAGGGCTATGCGGCCGCTGTCGAATTTCTTTCCAAAGGAAAGTAAAACAAATACAACATAACTCGCCGATCAAAGAAATTAGCAATATTGCTCGTCTGAGGACTATTGCGTGAGGACTAGGGTAATTCTAACTAGAGTGGCGTAGTGAATGTATTTAATGCAAGCATATACATCAGCTCATAATACTCGAAGCATCTGAGCGCTCCGTTATCGCTACCGCAATGAAATCGTATCTTTCTGGCATATACGACGAATGACAAAACACAGCTACCAGTTCTTCAGTTACTGCGCAAGGAGTAACTTGCTTTACATTGAGAGTATCCACGAACCTCTTTATTATTAGTGGCATCTCATTCGCCTTCAATAGTCTGACTTGTATTCGGCCGAAGCAACAGGCCCAGTGAAAAATCGACGCCGTGAAAGCCAGCACGATGGATGACTCTACCATTAGGACCACTTGAGCCTTGATTACGTTGTTTAGCGTTGGTTTTTTCTTGCATCTAGGAAATTACTGCCAGGCGATCGTGTAAGCGAGTCCAGTATGTTGCTTGTAGACGCAATAAGCGAGACGTCGCCCACAATGGTCGGCTGTTCTTTCCTAGATTTCGTTTTCTTATCTGATAATTATCCTGGTGAATCATCCACGTCCACCTTAACGTTGTTCACGTTGTGCCGTGAAATGTATGAAAGTACGGATTTAAAATTAAGAGAGTTGGATTGTCACGTTTTAGGTTAGACTGCAAACAATGGTTGATTTGTAAATTTACCACGCTTTGCAGCTGAGACGCTGATGTGTTTTTAGTATGGCAACAAGCGCATGGTTAAAGAGCTTATACAGGAACGTGGGAATGTGTAAACCGCTCTATGAGTCCCGGCCATACGTTACTGTAGGGTCTATAGAAAAGGAAAAAGCTTTGATACCTGACTGGTCGTCTCTTAGCTTCAACTGCCGTTTCGTTGTTGCGTTAAAACAGGTCCTATTTTTTTTTGTTCTCGCTTCTGGCCTAGGAAATCTGCAGGGCTTTCCTTCATACCCTCAGTCGATGTTCACGTATCTCGTTGTGCTTGTACCAGATACGATCTACAGAAAACATAGTTATTTGACCCAGCCATTGTATAGTTCCAGCAAAATCATCATGTAAATATTATCATATTTATTTCTTGGGCGTCTTCTAACTCATAGTGTATGAAATGTTTATTGATGAAAAAACGATATGTTAGTGGAAGGTTTCCCTGCAAAGGAGCCTAAGTAATATTGTTGTATCTTTCAATATATATATATATATATATATTCTAATAAACTCCGATGTTCCTTACAAATTGGAATATCTCAGATAGGACCTTAAAACATAACTAGAATAAATCATGGCCAAGAGCAAATTTTTCAATATAAAAAAGGTTGAATCCGCTTCAATGCGCGCTCCTATCACAGAAATCGAGATGGTCGTGAAGGAAATTAACTCTTTTGGCACTTGCTAGGTATATAAAGCGGGTTCACTATCTAGACTTTATTTATTTTATTTATCTAGATTGATCTTAGCCGAGGTGTATTCAATCTGTCTATGTTTATTCAGACAGAGGTGCATACTCTACATTTGAAACACTTGTATCTGATAAAAAAAAAAAGAATTAAGAAAGCATGGTTGCAAGCGTTCCAGTGGCCAAGCTTAGGCTCAAAAAGTGATATAGTAACACACAGTTAATTTACGCGCGTTATTAGTTATATAGTTAAATTAGATGAAAATACAGAGACATTTTTGATGATCAAGTCTTATTTGTTGATGAGAGCCATGATAAACGGCTTTTATAAAGTCTGCTTTACCGAACACTGAATATCTTTCGTTAACGCGGCTCACGATCGATTTAATATTTAGGTGCCACACGGCATAGCGTGTGTCAATACTGAAACCCTTTTGGGAATGGCCAAATTTCAGATATGAAAATTGTCTCTCTTTAGACACTCTTAATAATACTTTAGCGTAATCGCTCACAGTAAAAACCTATGCAGCACTTGACTTTTGGCCAACTATTGTAGCTTTGATCAATTAAAATCAGTGTATTATAATAATAAACGTTTACTTAGGGCAGCGTATGTCAAATGTCGTATAATACATTGTTCCAATTCAGTCTACCTCATAACACACAGGGTCAATTTTTAATCATTCTCCCATTTTTATTATGTCCCCATTTATCTATCCCGGAGTCAATACCAATCAATTATCAAGCATCACTTAAAACCTAAATGGGGTCGTTGCTACAAGCTGGAGTCGGTAAAGAAAATAAATTTAATCTTCACTACCTATTTGCGTCGAACGGAAGTTTCATTATACGTTACATACAGTCAAAAGCATTGCGAAAATTTACTTAAAGGCACTCTCCTTGTGGAATTTTGTATGAAAGGACATCTTTTTCATTGACAGGCCATTCCTGCAAGGATCGAAATTTTCTACAAGCATTCAAAAGAGGCAAAGGTCGTTCGATCAAAATCCGCGAACAACGTATATTACCGGATAGATTTGAATAAGTAGAGAAAAACAAAATCCCAGAATCAGTTTTGGTGCCTTCATAGGCTAATAATTTGATTCTAACGACTGCTAAATCCAATTTCCAGATGACGACTAGTATTGTATTTTTATTTTCGCTAGCTTTTTACATTATCTATTGTGATTCATGTATGCAGGATGTGTGGCATGACGGGGTCCAGTAACAAGATTTAATTTAATTTTTTTTTAATTTATTTTTTCCTATATCATACCAACACTGGGGAACCGTATCTCATAGTATACTCGACTATCGTCGTTTGTCCAGTTTTTGACGACAACCGTTTACTTATGAAGAAAATGGATACGATTTCGTAACCGAACATTTCCCTCAAGAGAAAAAAGTAACTGATACATATTCATCTTACATTGAACCGTTTTTATTAATGATGTGAGTATTTGCGCAATGCATTTGGGTACGTTGACGGTAATGGACATGGGGATCGAGGACAAAAGTGTCCAGGATATTGCCCCAACGCACATCGCGCATGGTTTACATATTAGTCTCGTTGTTTCCGGTAGCATAGATCGGCTCAGTGTATCCAGATTTCCTGGTAAAGAAGTAACCGCGTCCATTATGAGAACTTGCGAAAGTCTCAAGAGCTGGATGATTATCCTGATCCATAACTTTTATCCTGCCCTGGCTGGATATCTTCCCGCCCCACTGTTGGTGTTCTTCGGGGGTCACGGCCAGGAACATCTGCTCCTCAACGATTTTGTTCCAGTGCTGGCTAAACTGGTTCTGGGTATGTTGTTGTTGCTGGTGCTGGGACGTCTGCATATCTTTGCATCTCTGTTCTTTCATCTGCCACTCCGGCTGGCGGATTTTGCGCAGAGCCCTCTCGAGCGCCTCCATCTGCTGCTTATAGGTATTCAGGACGGGAGCTTTGCACTGCTGACTGATGCTGTAAGAAGCGATGAACTCATTTGAATGCTCGTACTCATGACCGTGAGGTCCGATGAACTCGTGATCCTGCTCGTCGTCGTTGTTGCCGCAGATACCGTTGGTGGCGCCCTTATACTTATCGTCGACGTGGACCTGAACGGATTCACCGTCAAAAATTACGCCGAACTCCTTGGACTCTGTGAAGAGGGAAATAACTGGAGCATGGTGGGAGTTGGAAGTCTCATAAGCGTGGATAGCGGCGCGCTTGCATTGGCGCCCGTAGCTAAACACGATGGGCTTTTCAAAAGTGAGGTAGTGCTGCTGTCCATTGATTGTAACCTGAAATTGGCGGTCGGTGGTGGTGAAGGGAAAAAACTCCACGAGGTAGTTCTGGAGCTGGGCACGGATTTTCCTGCCGAAAGTGTGAGGCTTAACCACCTCGAAGGTCACGGTGAAGTCAGGGTCGCCCGCAGACTGGTCATGGGTAAGAAGATAGTCGCAGCCCTCTTTGACGTCGAGACTGAAAGTGACGTTATCGTAGGTACGGAGGTACTTGTCGCCCAGGACGCAGCGGTTATTGTGCTGGCCACGGAAAAGACCGTGCTCAAGCTGCTGCCTATCGGTGAGTTGCGTGTGGAAAAAACGGAGTCCAGGGAGACGGATTTGAGAAAAGACGACGTTTTGGAAGGGCATCACGATGCGGACATTATAGAGGAAAGACCAGGGGGACTCGCGTATGGCGTTGGCAAAGATAAGAACTTCCTTTTTCTCGCCCCAAAACGTCTGCTGATGTCGTCTCTCCTCGGTGCTAGGCATCTGGATCTGCATCTTGGGGTAGAGTATGTACTTAACCATATCAAGCATTTTGAAGGCAAGATTCTGAGCCTTGGGATGGACGTTCTGAGGAAGCTCAATCCTTATTTCCATGCTGTCCAGTAAGTTGTCCTTGAAGGTGGCCCTCTTGCAAGAATCAGTCATAGCCCTACTGGCTTCCTGCTCAGCAAGACAATGAATCTCAAACCATTCATACTCGGACTTCTGCTTCTGCTCGTTAGACTTCATAGCCTGGAAGTTGACAAAATAGACCTGCCCTTCCTGCCAGCCTTGTATGTTAGCGACGAGGCTGCCGTTCATACGCTCATCCTCAGAAGAATAGGTGGGGTCATAATGGAAGGGAGATCTGATGGTAGGATAATAGAGATTGGCAAAAAGTTCAATACTTTTGTTAGAACCCTGATGCTCAACAGCAAGTGCGTAGTATTGCTTGGTCTGTTCAAAATTGTGGATTTTCTTCGTGGCAACTTTGAAGGTGCGCTTGGGCTGGCCTTGGTAACGGCCCTCAATCTTGATAAGCATCTGCTTTTCAACAGTTACCTCTCCGATATTATCCTGAGACTTCTGGAGCATCTCCCTAACCTTGCGCATAACTTGCTGAAACTCGTAATAAAGTCTCTCTTTAGAACAGAGCTGGCATTGGAGCTTCGGTTTTTGAACCTTTTCAGTCTGCTGGTTAACGGGTTGCTTGGCAAGCTGCTCAAGGTTGGAATCCATATCGATGACGACGGTCCACTCATTAACAGGTTGTTGCTTGTCAGCCTCAAGGTAGAGGGATATAGCGTGGTGGTGCATTCCCATGTTAAGGCTGTTGATGATAGCCCCAAGGAAACCCTCACGGCGGAATTCCACAGAGCCGAGTATGCCAAGAGCAGACCAGACCTGGCGGGACTCACCAGTGAGACGAATAACCATGCCGGTTTGGTGGTCGCCGACCTTAAGGTCATGTTGGATAAGTTGCTGCCTGGTCTTAACGCAATTGGTATAGTTGACGAGGCTATTGCTGGGTTTTTTGCTGACAATGGTGTTCGCCGCAAGCTTAAGCTCGGGGCAGAACGCAGTGTGAAAGACACGCCCGAATTGGGGCTTAACGCTTGCGCGGAAACGCTGTTCCGCTTGATCATAATGAACATCAAAGTTAACTTTAACGTTGAATTCCTTGACGTCAGTGATCTTCATAGTGGGAGCAAGCTGAGGTTCCTCCTCGGCGACGAAAACGCGCGACTGACGGAAAGAAAGTATAACAGGTTGGATGGTACCACTAACCCCAATAGCTTTAGGGATAAGGTGGCCCTCCTGGTTGCGATAATGGAGCTTGAGGTTTCTGTACCGTACGGAAATCACAAGAGGATGAATGGTAGAGTGTACAATAGGAAATCCGATAGGGTTGGGCTCAACGAAGAAGGCTTTGGTTGGGACGAGCACGCGAATAAAATGGCCGCTAACGCCTTCTTTTCCGACGTTGTTTATGCTCTGGAGAAGCTCGGCTTTGAGCTCACTTGCATATTGCTCATCTATAGGAACAATAGCTTCGCCGGCAAAGAGCTTCCAGAAAAGAACAGCCTTGGGGGTTTCGTTGCCGATATCTTGGTTGTTTATACCCTGGGCTATGTATTTTATAAGTTGTTCAGTACTACGTTGGCGAGGTCCATTGTTCACCTGGCCGTTAACAGCCTGAGACATACGTTCAAGGAGACCGTCCCTTCCAACGAGTTCCTCCCAGATCTTGTTGCCGCCCTTGACGAGGAGCTTAGCTCCGAAGAGTGCCCGCATGAAAGGACCGCGGACCTGTTCGAGTTTAACATGGGAGAATGCAGGCAGAACAGTTGTGTTAGAAGCAATCATCTTCCAGATACCGCGGATGCCGTAACCTTCAGCAGCTGAAATTGCCAGCAAGGAAAAAGTTCTTAATTTAAAGCTAACGTGCCATCGACGATAAATAATTATGAGGTATAGGTTATATTTTGGTCACCTCTAAAGCTACATACTATTGTAGTAAAATTTGGAGCTGACATGGGACAAAATCATGCCAAGATCGAAGGAACGCATCTGGGCCCAAGCGGTGCGAATGCGGTGAGCCCTGAAAGGTGAGTGTAGCAAGTGGTGAAAAACATAATAAAAACATCGGGGAACTAAATAAATTAAGTAAATTGCATATAAATGCATGCACGTTTCGTTATAACAGAAGAGGCGTAGTCCAAAAAATATACAGGAGAGCAACGCACTCTGTACATATAGAATTTGGTGTCTCAATTAATTAAATTCTACATTCAAACCGAATCGACGCATACATTCAAACTTATCACACATATTGGTTATAAACGCTAATATAAATATATAATGGAACACTTACAAAAGCTGGTAGCAAGGTTCCTTAGCCTGCATTGCGGTTTTGAAGGTGTTATACACGTAATAGGTAAGCTCAACGGAGGAGTCCCTGTTGGCAACCTGCATGACCCTGTCAACCTCCCACTGAGCGGGCTGAGTGTTCATCCAAACGTCGAAAGCATTCAAACGGGTCTGGACCTGCTCGGTGGTGTTCAGGTATATGACGCGGACAATAGGATTGATTTCTTTGGGGTACTTGACCGCGATGTTACGAAGAGACAGGATGGCGACGCGACGCAAAAATTCGACACTTTCTTTTTGGTTCTCACCCTGTTCATGGGCCTGCTGCATATTAGGGGCGGTTCCCTCGACATACGGGACCAGCTCAGGGAGAATCTCGGGCTTCTCAACTTTGGCAAGGCCGTTAATGAGGGCAACGATGTTTTTGAACCCAGTAGCCTGGTTCAGAGTCTGGGTAAGACGCTGAATATACTCTTGGAGCTTGTCGGAAGTGCAACGCAACTTGGGTTTTATGGCGAGGTGGCCCATGGTGGTCTCATACCCTTCGGTCTCTGAGTCAGGCTCTTCCTGGTTTTCGCCCTGCTGATCTCCGTCGTGATAAATAGAGTCGTACTTGCCATTAACAAGCTGCTGCCTATATTGCGGCTTTTTCTGGACTTTTTGGTGCACCTTGGAATTGCAGCCCTTGGAGATGATCTTGCCAGCGGCAACGCAGGCGGTAGCCTTAACAGTGGCGGAGAGACCTTGACTTTGAAGACAAAGGCCAAGAACCTGTTCGATCATATCGATGTCGGGATATGACTGGAAAGCGGCGACGTCTTGAAGGATACGGCGAACCTCAGAGGAGGTGAAAGTCTTGCCCTTTATCAGCTCAATGGCTACCTTGACAGCGGACTTGGAACCAGCCTTGCCGAGAAGCTCAACCCAGACTTGGCGTTGCAGCTTATTCTCCTCAGAAAGCTGGTTGGGTTGCTGTGAACGGACAACACTGGGCATAGTCTTCTTGATCTCCTCCTCAGTCATACCGGAGATGGCTTGGATAAGTTCAGCCAGATAAGCGGGGGCGTCAAAACCCTGCTGCTCGTTTTGGTCATGCTTCTGGTTACCTTGAAGCTTGTGAAGGTCACGGATAACATTTTCAAATTGCTGCTGGAAGTACAGAGGATATCGGTGGTATAAGGTGTGCTTTTTCATTAGAGCAAAGACAGGAATGTCAAGTTCATCCTCCTCCTGTTTGGGAAGACGCTGTTGAAGAGTTTCGTAGATCTTCACGTCGGAGAGCTGCTCAATCTTGGGGCCCTGGACGTCGCGAAATCGGAGCTGGAGACGACTGAAGACCTGCATCCTGCCACCAAAAAGACGGAACACATCGATAGACTCAGAGCGAGCCTCATCAAGGAAGCCTTTGGAAAAATTGTACTTGGCAACGGTCTGAAAGGACACAAGAGAGTCCTTGTGTTGCTGGTTAACGGGACATCCGGGAGTAGGCTTCATCTCAAAGTCGGTCGTCTCCTCCTCGTACTGACTAAGGAAGTTCTCGGGACGGTGATTGTCGCAGACACCAGCGCAGCCGCGGTGAATATCTTTCAGGTGAAGGTAGACGGGACGGCCGAGGCACTGCTTGTAGTTGTTGGTCTTGGTCATGTTATAAACGTCCTGAATGGTTCCATCCTTAGGCTGAGAAAAAATCTCGTATTGGACCTTGCAGTTGCCGGTGATACCATCCTCGTATTTGTACTCAACGAAGGGCACGGCCTGGTTAACGGGCTTCTTGACCTGGTTCTGAAGAAGAGTTAGGACAGCTCGGTAGATGTTAAGCGACCACTGGCGGTGATTCTGTCCAGCCTCCATGCGCGTCACCCGACCCTTCTCCATGGAGAACCTGATAGGTTTCTGCATCTCGGGTTCGTAAGCTTGTCCCACGTGGAGGACCTTGGCGAGGTGCTGCTCCTCAGGCTTGAGATCATTGAAGGTTTCATCTTGGATCCTCCTGTCGATTTGATCGTATTTGCTAAGAGCAAACTGGGTGAACTGGGCGAGGTATTGACCCTGACCAATCTTTTCGATGACGAAGGTTCCGTTATACTCAAGAGCGGTCTTCGTGTCTGTCAGCTCCTGAGAGCCGACGGTCACGCCACCACGCACACTATACACGGTAGTGTTGTAGCCACGCTGTCCAACAAATTGGAACACCTCAGCGCTGGCGGCTGGAAAAGTTAATGGGTAAGGTAATATATCGGCGATCACTAAATATCAATATTAGTGCAAAACATGCCAAGCCTTTTTTGAGTAAGTCTCCATATTGAATCGCTCACGAAAACGGCTAAAATATGGTTATGTCTTGGGCCTGTGGCTTAATTACGGGCAAAGACATAACAAGCGCCCCATCACGACTAATAAGAAAACAAAGTCGATTCTTCGCTCTGAAGAGAATTAGAACTCCGTTACTAGTTATACAAATTGTAAACGTCATTACAAGTTTATATATCCTGGAAGGACACTTTTTCCGAAAGAACGTCGAAAAGGCACTGCAGCAGCCACTTATAACTATCTAGGATAAGCACTTTCGAGGAGCAATATCAATCTGATACGCATATACTTGGGCATACCATCATTTGTTGACCTAGTACAGACTGGGTTAAAAGTATGGCAAAGTGGCATACCCGCAGCTAGAAGAGCGATGGCAAACAGCACTTTCATGATGAACGGCTAGACGACTAGATCCAACCGAACGCAGCGATAAAGTAGGCGTCAGCTTCTTATATACAGCCGTCCATATTACGGGGGAAAAGGACTATGTATGGAGAGTACGGCATATCTATACGTACGTATAATACGGCATATATAGCGAATCTGCTGCTTAAGCAGTATAGTCTTGATAAAATCCGGAGAACGACAAATGAATACGGTTATTCGCCCTTCTTGATCATTTAGTGATTGTTCGAGATTATCCTTACAGCCGTTCATTTGCCCTCAATCAATTTGATAATCAACGCAAGCATCCTGTGGCATTCGTCAATAAGTTGATACCTTCAAACTCTGTAATATTCGGCTTGAAGCTAGCTCGCGTTGTGCGCACTCAACTTCTAATGATCTTCACAGTACTTCATTAAAATGACTATTGGGATAATTTCATATCTAACCATTAATGTGGTTTTCAATGGAGCTATAAAGCTTAAACGTAAATTCAGTATATATTAGTGTCAGATCTTTAGCAGGGTCGGCCATTCAGGATGAAGTTTTTATCCAACTCCTAATTATCGGAAAGCAGCAATGTCCTACTAAACCTGCAATGGTAAAGAATGATGATTAGATATAGATGTCAGTACGTGACATACGTTAGTTATTACTATTTTCCTGGCTATTTTTGAATCTCTGTATGTATTTCAGATGCAAACGGTTTTATTTTTAGAGTATGAGATAGTATTGAAATATCTCTCCAATTTCCACACAGGCCTTATGCTTTTGAGCGGCGTCATAAAATTCGGCACAAGTTTTTACAAAAAAATTCAATAAATACATATACACTATTGACGACCGGCACACATAAATGACTCTAATTGTATTCTAGGACTGTCCTTTTCTACATTTTCTGGCCAAGCAAACTAGGGCCAGATGATACATTGCCAGTCATCAGACATCTAACATACTCTGCTTACAATGTTCTCGTTTTTGCAACTGTCCTGTGCTATAGGCGAAATATAAGTTATAGACCCCACCGGACTAGTCCACTAGACGTCGTTTTTTTGACAGCTTATTTCAACTACGAGAAAATCAAGAGTCATCCTTATTTAACACGCAAAAGATACCAAACTGATATGTGTCTGTGAATTGTTATTATAGACACCCTATGGCTGCTTTGTAGATTCTACAGGTTTTGTCTAAATCTACAGATCGATTCTATAGAGAAAGCACACATTTAGGCATGTTAACATTTACATGCTTGTCTAAATATTTTTTTCTAGTTGTTTTTCTCACCATTCTTTGAGAACGTTCCCTGTAAAAGTTAATTACTTTTTTTTTTTTTCTTTTATATTCTGCATATGTAATGCATTCGTAAGTAAAGCATAATTTAAGACGAATGTGTATAGAAAGAGACCAATTTTGAAGAAGATGTATTAGTTAGTGATCTCTACAAAGTGATTGTAGACACTACAATCTATTCTATGTAAAAAGGAAATGTTTGTTTAAAAATCAAGTTCGGAACTATTAAATATAATAATGCTGGCAGTCAAATCATAAACGAACCGTGCCTGTACATCGTTCACAATAACACTGAGCAAGAAATTAGAAAAAGGATTAAAACATGCAAAAATTTTTCAAATCTTTTTTTTTTTTCTATGACCGATTTCTTTTAAAAACGTATTAAGAGTTAGACGGCCTAGGCCCTTCGTTCAGCTGCTAAAAGTTACGGATTGTCCGACAACAGACTTGTAGTTAGTAGGTGTAGTCAAAGAAAAAAAAGATTCTAGATACAACCATCGCTACTCAATACCATAGAGTACCGCAGATATCTTTATCGTATCGAGATCAGGTATCGACCACACAGCTTGAACAGAATTCTAAATGCCGTTCCTCTGCTAGAAAAAGAGGCGTCTCTATAGAAAAAAAGCACGGTATTAAGCCAGGCCATGATACGAAGATAGGCAACCGTATCGGAGACGAGCGTAACAACGGGCTCACCTAAGTGCTGCTCCACAGAACCTTTTCTTAGGCCATAGATGCGCACACAACCTGACGTAGACGAAGCATAAATGGAAAAAGGATTTTTACAAAAAATATTTTGCTTGCTATAAAGGAAATAAGACAGATTTTGACCCTATTCTATGTAATATAATAAGTATAATAAAGAAATCTTCTTTCTACCCGTAATAGGCAGTAACTTAACGCGCTCAAATGTGGACGTCTAGGTTCAGTAACTGGTCTCAATCGGGCATTGTCTTTACAGACTTTCGCTAATATGTTTCTTTAGCTAGAACAGGCTTCTCTAGGATTACAGAAGTACCTTTGAAACTTTTCCTTGATGAATGGATTAATTTGGTTGCAAATTTTTGTTTGCTCGGTATTTTTATTGATGTGTGTAAAAAATTATTGCTGGCAAAAATGTTTTGCATGTTCTAATACGAGTCCGTTAAATTGGGCTCATATCCACTGTATCGTTATCAGTCCCCTAGTCTGCTCGTATAGCCTGCAGGTAGGTGCGTAATGTTTTTGCTTTTTAATAGGTGTGGCCCCGCCACATATGCCCCCATTGGATCCAGTGAATTAGACTACGAAAAATAAGATATAACGTTTATAGTGCGGAAGGTTCAACTATATTTCTATGATGGTGGGTTCCTTACTTGTTGAATTATTTCTTTTATTTTTTATTACTTTATTAATTACTAATAGGGGTTTGGACGTATAAAAATTACTTGTTAGTCGCTTGCTAGAATTGTTCACGATCCGGTAAGGTATTAGAAAGCCAGGGCCGCCCTGGTCTCCACAGCAAGAGGCACCGGATCAAATACATTGAACTCTAATAGACTATAGTAGAAGTGTGCTTAATTTGTCTAAAATAAAACCCAAATAATATGATGGGTTTATACGTGTTACCTATTATACGAAAAGACGTAACATTACGCAAAGCGTCCGACTATAAAGACACTTTGAAGGGGCGCTGATCATGGTAATTGCACTTGTCTCCTACATCATTACATTAAATAAAACGCGCCATTCAATCTTATCTAAACTTGGGTCTAATAAAGGCAACTCACCTCCCTCAAAATCCCTCTTAGTATGACAATTTCACCGAAACGCACGAACCACTTCGTTAACAAACACTAGATTCAGTATCTAATAAAATCACAATCTAGTAATTACATACTAAACCAACCACTACAGTACCCTGGAAATGCTTAATTAATAAAAGAATACCTTAAATTTAGTTGAAAAACGCAGACCTACAGTTATTCATTGTTAATTATTCTACTCGTATCAGACCTACTACTATAAATATCTAGGGAGAAATAGCATTTTCATTGACAATAGTGGAATACTTTTGTTTTGTTGCTGTTGATGTTTATTGACTTCTTTCTTCGAGTAACGAGGGGTTAACGGCCGCCTGCGTCCGCACGGCCCCATGGACGCCCAATACTTATTTATGTGTGGGGGACATGGGGAGTGGTGGGGTAGTTCGTCTCTGTATTCCGTTCGCCTTCTGCTCTCTCTCACTCTCACACATTACTAATAATAATAATAATATGGTAGTACAATGATTTATCTACGGTGATTATTTCCATCTATGAAACGTCGTTGTACTCCCGCGTCATCATCCCCAACCACCTCATTGTCATTGTTACTATTTGTCATCGTCACTTCGTCGAAAAGTCCGGCGTCCCGTAAAGGCGGCTGTGCGGTCACGGCGAGTTACTTCCTTTTTGGTGTGGTCGAGTGCTATATACAATATTACAAATAACTTATAGTACATATTTTTTCAGCATTCTCATCGTCATAAATATTGTTATCAATTTTATCGTCCGCATTACAGCATATCTATTCAGGCGTTTTTCTTATTTGCTACCACGTGTTTTCGCTTGTGCCCTCTGTCTGCCGTTGTCTCTTCGTTACCTCATAACACGGAACGGTATGGGCTCCCACCGCCCATTTATGCTGCCAGCTAGATTCCCTTTCCTCAATATAATTTATTATCGTTATATTATCTTCAAGCGTTTCATCGCATCATTGTTTAATAAGCGATGATTCTTCATTACCTCTTATATTATCATCATTATCATCATTTATTACCATCAATTAGTATTTCTTTAGCTCTCTGTGTGTCATTTCTACTCATGTGTATGTCTGTTATATTATGTGGACATTACGAATATATATGTATTCGTAGTTAAGCAATGTTTGATCAGTCGTCCCGTGTAGGATCGTTCGCTATTTTGAGCCCATGACCGAGTCCGGTTCAGTTATATGAGCAAATCGGATGAAATCAATACCTTGTATTTGTATCAGGCGAAGAAAATTTAGATACGTATGTGTGTGCGTGTGTGTGTGTGTGTGCGCCTGTGTGTGTGTGTGTGTGTGTGTGTGTTTGTGTGTTTGTGTGTGTGTTTGTGTGCATGCGCTTGCCGTGTTTCGCCAGTGTTTGCCGACACGTGCTTTCGACGAAAAACTGGTGATTGCTACTTGTAAATAATCACACACGATATATACATGTTCCTGTCTCATTTCGGCCATGTTCTACTCTGTCGCACAGCACACATCTGTCACTAGTTAGTAGTAGTTTGCTCTCTCTCTCTCTCTCTCTCTCTCTCTCTCTCGCTCTCGCTCTCGCTCTCTCGCTCTCTCTCTCTCGCTCTCGCTCTGCATTATTATTATTAGAGTTTCTTTGTTTTGTGTTTTACGACATTGAGTCAGGTGCGCTGTAGCATCGCTCGCTTGATCATGTTGAAGTTATAATCATTATCGTATTGGATATTATTGACGTGCTTGGAAACTGCTGTCCGTTCTTGTCAGGCCTTCCTAAAGAGAAGGCTGGGATTTGTATTAAAGCGAGCAGGCGGAGCTGATGTTTGTAGCGTTATCGCAACGAAAGTCTAATCGGATGCAAAACTAGGTAAAAATTTATAATACATTGTAAGTAGGATCCAGCGGCGCCAGTTAACATTGAGCCTTACGATGATACAAAGTGCTCGAGTCTGGTTGACGCTGCGCGCTTTGCCAAAGGGAAAGTTTGACTTGTGGATCTGTGAAGCTCGTATGTGTACGGCTGTGTCTGTTTGTGATGAGCGGAAGCCAAGAAGTTAATTGTTATCGCGGATTCGATTTAAGAGGATGTTATGTAAACATACTCTCTTTCTTTAGATGTGTCTTTGGTTTATGCTGTACTCGCTTTGAGGTTCGGTGCGTTGAAGTACCGCCCCACCGAAAACCTCCCTACGCGAAGGAAGACAAAGGTATAACACCGTTACTAAGTCACCGGTGATATTCATTCCCTATATCATGTGAATGTGTATTCGATATCCAGGTTCAGGTGGAACGCAGCTTAGGGCTATCGGAAGCTTGCGAACTTTCCGTATCCGTATTGAGAAAAATTCACTTGGAAAGACTTAAGAACAGCAAATACAAAAAAAAAAAAAAAAGGACTGAAGCCAACTTGCGCTACTGTGTCTTCTAAAAAAAAAAAAACAGAAAAACGCGGGAATGTCAATTGGGTTTTCACATATTTTTCGCCACCATCCGTATGTTATAGATCGTTTTGTTTTTACATCATCACCATCGCGATTATATCACCGCAATTGCCGTTAGATTTACCATTGTTACTGTTAGCCCACATTTGTATATATATAAATATATATAAATTTCCCAACCTATCAATCATGATATCTTCACACTAATAGAAGAAGCACAGAAAAAGGTTCAGACAAAAAAAGTCAGGTAATTAATAGATAATAATCAAGGGAGGAGTGCTCTCTCTCTCTCTCTCTCTATTTTATACGTGCATGTACATGTGCATATTATGGGTCAGTCGTATATATACCTTAGAGATTTCCGCCCGATATACGTTACATCTTCTTCTTCTTTTTGCAAAGGTTCTATCTCATTTGTCTAATATAATAATAAGAATAGCGGTCAATATTTTTAAAATACTTATTAATTACAATGATCATATTATAATTATTCATTCACTTACACTTATCTAATATGTATATATACTTTCGCTGTATACGTACACTTTTATGATATGTGTATATATATATATATATATATATATATATATATAACACGTTTATCTGTTCGCAACTGCGAGAGAGGTTGCTGTTCAAACGTTGTCTTTCTTTTCTCATATCCTCGATGGGTTTACATACTGACATCCATGCCCACGCTAACGAAAACATACGTACGCATTCGATAAATGTGAGGTCGCTCCACCCTGAGAACGTGTGGAACACTGCGTTGTAGTTTATCCATGGCTACGTTTTCCACAACAAAAATAATTATGATCATTATTCGCTTGGAGGAGAACGATAGCGTCTGAATTTTGTCCGGAACATGTGCGCGCCTAAGTTGGGGGATTTGGGGAGGGAAGCGAAAATAACTACGAAGGAACTTCTTCCGAACGGTTCTATTTAGTCAATCGGACTAGCTGGAACACTCCCTGCTTAGCGGCTTCTATATCTGTCTATATGCACGCTTCAACCTATTTACAATTAAAAGCTCCTGTCAAACTCCTGCTTGTCCCGAAGCCGATCTACCTTAGCATTGAGCAAATCGGGTTTGGATAGAATATCTACCCCACTTTGCTTATTTTATGCATAAAGTTGGCCAAAACATAGCGTGTAATAGTTAAAATGGCTTTTTGAAGCTCTTCCTTTTCCGATAGAAAAACAAAAAACAAACGAGCAGTGTTTTCGTGGAGCAGTTCGCTTCTATTATTCTTTGACCAAAGAAAAAGGAAAAAAGAAAAGCTTTTTCTCGCCTTTTAGATCTCGCTAGATTCGACAGGAATGATTACGTTATTGACACCATGGTCGTTTTCACTAATAATTCACACAGTGGTCATCCTTGTTTACTTGTAATTCGACCAATTAGGGTACCTCAATTAGTTTCCTCCAGCGGCTCATCGTACGTGTGTACATGTGGTGTGTTTAAGCACAAATTTCCATTCCAATTGATTATGATTATGGTTCGGTACTGCGTGTCGTTTATATCTGTGTGTTATGTTTGTGTATGTATATATATCCTTGACTCTACACATATGTATTTATATATATATATATTAATCATCTTTTTTTCTAGTTCGACACTCTCTAAATATGGATCTTGTTGCGTGTACAATAGTACTTAGTTACTGTGATTGATAATAATCAGCTGGCCAGCTGCTTTGGTTGATTGACGCCTTTCAGTTCAGTCACTCGTTTTATCATTGAATATTCCTTACCGGTTAACATCCATTGGCTTCTCGCCGCCTCGTATTTAGTGTGATTATCAATATCAATCAATAACGACCTCGATTTAGCTTATTTGGTAGACTTTCAAACAAGATCATTCATGAGATTTCTGTCTCTTCCAATCATTCGACGATTCCTCATCCCTTGTCAAACATTGCCAATTTCTTGGTTTACTCTCGCCTCGCTGTTCCTTCATGACCCAGCATCACCCGATGACCATTTTGTCAATTATGATTATATTTAGTATATATATATTATAAATATTATGCTATATCGTTAACATAGCGGTTACTCGACTCGCGACTCGTCGCTTTCGTTGTCTGCAGCTCCGCGCCCGGAACGCCGCGGGCTGCAAATTCTCATTGGTATCTTTCGGTGGATTGGGATTGATGCAAACTGTCTACATAGGGATTAGTGCATAGTGAAAACGTTGCTGAAGTCAGGGAACTACTAGATCTTCACATCGGGTAAATAATGGGGATTGCCACCTATAGCTTGTGATCGGTGACCGATCGGACCCCGCCAGGTCATTTGACATCATCTGACTATCGATCGACAATTTCCACGCTGCTCTTCATTAGAACTATGGTACCTAACGATATGCGTTCAGTTACGTGCTCTTCGTTAGCGTGAATGATTATTGTTAATAGTTATTACTGAGGCTTATGTCTTTCACATCGTATCGTTCTGTATTGTATAGACGGCCATAGGCCCCGACTCTACTGCATGTCCTTCTCGAACAATGGCCCAAGCATAAGGTTCAACGCACATGAGCAAGCAGCAGCTGAACGAACGAAAATTCACTCGTACATAGGTCGTGGATTTCTTTTTCGCTTTGTGAGATACCTCTAACGAGATAACGTAACGTAAATATAGGTCTAGTGGAGGGAGTTAACATGCGTCTTATGTATCTTGTCACGTACTTCTATAATATGTCATTAGGGTTTTTCTTTCTCTCTCTCTCTCTCTCTTTCTCTCTCTCTCTCTCTCTATCTCCCCCTCTCGATATATATATATATATATATATGTGGAGGTTTTGGAGAGAGTTAGACCCCCCCTCCAATTCGGACTGCCTTCTCAGGGTTAAGAAAAGCACTCCCCCCTGTGTTTTTCTTAATAGCATCTGCTTTACCGGTCTTTTCACTCCCCTTTTAGATTCCACGTTATCGCACGTTTTCTTATACATTTACTATGTTATTAGTATCGTTGTGCAACAGCATTTTGACCGTTGAAATCGTTCATTTATATCAATATTATTATTACTCATAGCACGCTGCTGTTGATTCGGAATGACGTCTCTCTGCTTGGATTGGTGCTGTCGGCGGTCGACTGACCTCTGTACGAACTAATAATAACAATAAGTATGATAAATACTTAAAAAAGTTAGTCCGATTAAAAAAGGTTAGCAGTGAGATTGGCCCACTCTGATAGGGGCCGCTGTTGAAACAAGCAACGACTCATTTGTAGTTCACCATCTAATTTTCGTACACAAAAGAACAAAGCCACGAAATGTAAGAACGGCGGGGCAAACGAGGGCAAAAGGATCAGCTAGGACAACTGCAAAATCCTGCTGAACGAAAACTTTGAGATACTCGAAAGATACTGGAATGTTTCCACTGAACGCCCATTGCCTCCAAAATACGCGTTAACACTTACAATTAATATATCAAAAAACAAATTTGAAAAAAATATATATGTGTATATATATATATATATATATATATATATATATATATATATATATATAGAGCTATTAAAAAACAATGAAAGGCAAAGGCACACGAGACACTCAGCGCCTAAATATCTCAGAAAACGAAAAAATAAGAAAATGACGGATCGAGCCTACAAAGTTTACGAAAGGCTCACGAAGGAATCGAGAACACGTATGAAGCCCCCGAGAGTTCTCGATATTTCTAATCACGGACGATATCCCGTCGAAACGGGTCAATTACGAATAATATTTGCGGCTTTAAGGATACACGACGCGACGGAGACTCTACGAAAGGCTTATTCATTCGAAGCGTTGTTTTTGAGGCCTTCTACGACCTCGGCTCATACTGTTGTAAGGAACGTTATCACAATTAGCTCCGATGTGGAAAGCAAATCTTCTCTTGCGAGGGCTAACTGCGACGTTGTTAGGGACTGAGCAGGTAGCCTGCTGGACGAAACTGAGCTTTTCGATTTTTTTAAATGAGAATTAGTGGTTTACCTCTTTTATGAACTTTCTTTTTGATGAAAAGCAACATTAAAAGGTAAACAAACTATTTAGCCATTTTTTGGTTTTGTGCCGAACGGGAAAAATGTTCCCTTTGCGCTCTTTTTCCACTGCTGTTCTTCATTGTTGGTTTGTTGTTTTAGTCGTTCCTTTTATTACGGATATGTCTATTCCTTATTAGCTGTAATTACTCTTTTTGTCTAAAGATCTTCGTCTGTTTTTTTTGTTCGTCATAGAAACTTAAGTCGTGGCGCGATGTCTTCGGCGCCCTCGCTGGTAAGAGCTAGCACGGTCTTAGAATGCGCTTCTCCACGCTTCTTTTTTATTATATTTGTTTTTATTCCGGTTTTTCGGCTTCCTGAAAATGTTGTCCGCCTTAGCCAGACAGCGTTGAGGATATCTTTTTCCATGCATCTCTCATCATTTAAATCGACGTTGTAGGCAATTGCTGCATCTCGAGATCGTAGTCAATGATTGTTGATATCATCTATCTGTTATCCTCTTCTCTGATCCACTTTGTTTTCACGCTTTGCCTTGGCAATCAAGCCGCGCATATCGTAATGCACGGTGGCTCCGCTACGTTTTTCTTATTGGCGCTTGCCTTTCCCCATCCCTCCCTTCCCCCTGCCACAAAAACGGTCTTCTAACCGTCCTAATCACGTCGATCTGCACCATATTCGTAAACTGTCCTTATTAATTACATCGTCTACCACACTGCTGCTGCTGCTGCTGCTGCTGCTGCTTTGCCCGTATATACATTCTGTAGTTATTTGTCTGACCATGATCGTAGTTCCTGTTCCTTCGTCTATTGCGAAGGGCGTGACGAAGGCAAGCACTTCTTTTGACTCCGCCAAAGTAACCTGCTTCCGCAATGAGCTAAAGCTCGGATTGGAACGTTCGGCGTTTTCTTTCCCGTTAGTTGTCGACATTAATTCTGTAGAGGTTGTCAATACGATACATCTCGTCGTTGCGCAGTACACCACAGCGCTGTGTGCTGTTTCGGTGGGTCTTTGCTTACTGCATTTCCTGCACTTTTCCTCTGTTCCTATTATAGCTACTACTGGGTCCTCGATGTGATGATGATGTTGATCAGTTGCTCGATGGTCGTTGGTCGAGGCTCGTATTAGCAAAATTTTACTGCATTGGCCGTTTGGAGGGGGGCTGCATAGCCACCCAGTCACAGTAGGCTGAGTGGGGGGCAGTCCAACTTGTTTATTCCGGCTGTACCCTAGCTATTTGATTGCTTTGGCTCGATGCAAATCATTATCATAGTGCTGATTAATCAATTGATTGATATGGCTGGCTCGTTTATCGCACATAGCTTCAATTCGATTTGTCTCTGTGGTGGAGTAGCTCTTATCCTTGTTGCCGTTGTCACATAAGAGAAAGACGCTTTCTGGTTATTAGCTCTGATACGTTCAATGAAAGCCTGCTGTGATTTCGGTTGACCAACCTGGCATGGTAACAATCTCATTGTTATTTGAAGAATTATAATTACTATCATTATAATGCTTATTAGTGGATAGTAGCGCTACGTTTGAATGTTGCTGCTTATATAGAGTTTTGTCGGCAGTTTTCTTAATGCTGATGTCGGCGGTCCCTGATGTTCGGGCAGTTGCTGAGGTCGTTGAGGTCTGCGAGGGTTCGAGATTGAATGATCGATTGGTCTGAATTGTGTCTTTCCTTCTAGTTCCGTCTATCTGTTGTCGCCTATTTCGTACGTACGATATATCTATGCAAGTCTGTAACTGAGAGTTTTTATTCGAGCTGCTCGAGAAAGTTGGGCGATTTGAAATACTCGGGCACGTTGTCGTCCAGCCTGGCAATGATTTTGTAGATAGCCTTTTTCCAAGACTGTTCCTGGTCCTTCCCAGCGAGAATCGACTTAAAAAATTCACGGAGGGTCTGCTCCACCACAAAGCGGAAGTTTTCTGGAACCTGAAACGAGAGCAAATAAGTAAAAAGTCAAACAAAAACGAAGAAGAAAAACAAGACAAAACGATTAACGTCGTCAGTCAATTCAAACATGCGCTGTAGGTCGGTTAATTAATGCAACTATTTCCTGCGTCGTCTTTGAATAGCCAATATGGTGCACGTAGTTATGTCAATACCGAAATGAAGCACGTGCCCCAGTTACGGGATAACTTAAACTGTAAGGATAGGACTAAACGCTTCAAGATGAAGCCTGGAAATAGAACTGAGAACTGATCTTGGGTCCAGCCGTCGGCGCTAGTCCCCATAACCGATCCACAAATCGTCCCCATTTTTGAAGTAGTTCCACGCATAAACCAAAATTCAAATGGACGAGCCGTGAAACTTCTAGGATCATAAACACATGACCCACTTTGTGCAAAGAGCAGAGTTACAGATGTAGCAGACAATAGAATTAAACGATGTCCTGAGCCTCCAGACATCGAATAATCTCGTTCTTACTGATGGCATTTCCATTACTAAGCAAAAGCGCTTTGTTTTGGTATCGCCTTTACGATTCCTACTATAAAATGTTGTGTATACATATACGTTATGTAACTTACGTCGATGTGATTGTTCCGGTTGTAATGGAGGTTGAGTACACGAAGAAGTTCCGAGTCGTGAGAAACTCGAATGTCCTCGGCGTTACGAACGCCTTCGCTGATCGCCTGCCGGGCGTACTTCTCCATTTGAATGTAGTAAAATTCCCTGTCGCAGAACGGGATCAAATACAAATGTTCGGATATAGAAATTACTCAACAATCATATAATTAATTCATTGGGATGACTTATTTATTCATTCATTACATTATTACCAACATATCGAGCAGTTGTTGTTCCAAGTTGTCTCGACAACCGTGTATAAAGGACTACAAGATCGATATAATTAAACCAGAGAACGATGATGTATTTCGTCTGTTTAGCAACTACCGTAAGGTAAATCTTTGATGTTGTAAGGACTTGGTCGTTAGGTAAATATAGCGATGTCACCGCAAAGATCTATATCGGCCTAGTGTCTTTCTTAATCGTAGTGCTCGTGTGACGACACCTCAAAGGCTCTTAAGGCTCTAATCGACATGATTTGTAAAATTAGCCTCGTCCAATTCTTGGAAGTATCTCCTCCGGCCTATCATCCGCTAGTACAAATAGTTTCGATATGAACGATTTTAATAAGCAATTTTATGCTGTATGTACATTGCTAAAAATTCTTGGTCATAACTATACCTTAGGACCCGTTTTTTTTTTGAAGTAAATATGTAATTGTAAACATTTGAAATGTTTCCAATTACATATTTACATGAAATGCAATTTTCATTTAGGCAGCTTCAGTAATTTCAAAATCCGTTAGCAAATCACTTGAGATATAAACGGCTTTTATACTGGCACACTGGGCTCTCATATGGGCTGGCTTTTACGTGGTTCTACTTTCCCTATTTGGAGCATTGCTTGCCACAAGAGCAGCACAATCAAATAAAAAACCTATCGAACTGGGAATAACAATGTTGTCTCAAAAACAATTGCCGATCGTCTCATCCCACGAATGTATGGAGAGATCACATTAAGCAGTGCACTATTTCAATGTTAACACACTGGATTCTAAACTCCAATACATTAAAGGACAAAGATTAGGAAGCTTAAATCAGCTATCGTCAACTCTTGAGAAGATTTCAGATACGACCGTTAGCAAGCGACCGCGAGTCCCTTTTTATCGAAGTAAATATATATATTTATGATTGGAAGACGTTAGAGATGGATTTTTGTGCAAGTCACGCGGTTAGTCCGATCCTGTGTTCTTGTCATTACAGGCGAGGGGCTGGCGAGCTACTTTTCGCCAGCGTGGCAGACTTTGGCGAAAGCGGCGGTTGCTTGGAGGAACCTCTGAGGAGAAGAAAAGTGGCTCCAGTCGAAGGAGATGAACGAAGGACATCAGAGCGCTAGGACTATGCCGCCTGAGACAGTTAACCTCGGACGCTCCTATACTTCGCCTGACCTCAGAGTAAAGGCGCAAGGGGGAAGTACTGAGTGCAGGAAAGGAGCCCAGTACGAGGTAGACAAGATCCGATAGGAGTGCCGGTTCTGCCTTCATTCAAATCCGGCTGCTTCTTCATTCTCAGGGAAGTGGAGTTTTTACGCGGTGAGAAACTCGCGGTGAGCCCAAGATTAAGAACGAGAGATGTACCATGGCTGCATCATCTTGGAGAAGGTGCAGTAACGTTCATTTGAATGAGCGCATGGTACCGTCATACAAACTAATAGCCAGCTGCTACATAGTTATTAATGTATGGATAATAATATTAAGCAATAATAAACATGCCATACCGCAAATAGGGAAAAGAAAGCAGAAATCATGCTTTCCTTATTGGTCCTGTTCAGTTAAAAGGAACTGATAGAAATATATATATATATATATATAATGATCAAAATGCCTAATAATGATCGATAGACAGTCCGGACCCATTTCTCACTGATCCGTTTCACCCCCTCGCCATACTTCCTAAGGGTCAGCAACCTTGAACAGTGGTTCCTATGGCTGATCTGCCTTGATGTCGATGCTGTCAGGTTTCGTTCTCTCTATGCGCCTTCTCGTAGCCTAAAGTAGTGAAGGCAGTGCCGCTTCCATCGCCAGAAGAACGAGAAAACATCGTACGACATTCATTGAGGACAGAGATTGGGGTGGGGTAATTTTGGGAATGGGGTTTTTTTTTGGAGGGGCGGGGGGGGGGGGGGAGATCAATGAACGTAGAATTTCGTAGTAGTACAAGAGTCGTAGTAGTATTAGTAACTGTGAAGCGCTAGCTTTCCGTCGGACTTATAACGACGGTGAGATGCCTGTGCACATATATGCACCTGAAGGCTCGATCGAATCTCCGTGCGAAACAGTCGGTCAGGAACGTCAGAGTAGCGAGGAACGAAAATAATATTGAAAGGATAAGACAGGATAACTGCAATTGACAGGAGACGCGTGCTTGGGTAGTCGGGGGTAGCCAAACACACGAATGTGTACATTACAACACTAGTTATTCTGGTATAAAGAAGGTCTCACTCCTTTAAATTTAAGAAATATCCATCATGATGCTTGAACGCCAAGTCGATACGAACAAGGATGCCAGTCTTTATGAGAAAACATTATCTAGATTCCCTCGATAGGTTAGGTCAATTTAACAAATACAAAATGGCACAGACTGTAGTTAACGAATAATGATTCATTGTACCGCAATACGCACATATACTTGTATGCCTTGCCGTCGACAGAAAATCATTCTCGCCACTGTCCAAACGTGATATTTAGTAAAAGATGGTACAATTGCCCGCTATAGAATTAGCATTAATCGAGCTACAATTAACAGGCGGTTGGTATGTAAATGATGAGCACGAAATGCTCGATAAGCTGAATCCGGTTCCAGAGTTGCTATGATCAGAAGCCTATAGCCTGAAATGAACGGTATATCTATTCAGCGAGCGAAATCAACTGATACTTTCCCGAGGGACAAAACGGATGACGGAAATGAAATGATGCACCGCTAGGAAAACGCCGCCGCTGGTATGAGGCTCACGATATATCCCTTAGTGAATGATGGACTATGGCCAATCGATGGATGACCTATGCAAGGCCTAACCATAATACCGTTGAATTCCAACCATCTCTAGCATACCTCGGCTATAACTGACACTTAGGTCAACAGTGCGCCACTGCATCGTGCCATGCAAGACGGCCACTGCATCATCACCATCAGCGTCATCACAAGGATTATCTGTATTTGACAATGTTCATTTTTCCGCGGTGGGGAAGCTACGGGACGTTCGAACAGTAGATAGTACCGATATTGTTTAACCAGTGCTTACACCGCATAAGCGATCTATGGCGAACTGCTTAATGACTGAGATAAATCAACCTGTTGCTGTTTGCTGACTTTTGTCATAGCAACCAGTAGATCAATCCATTAACCTAAGAAAAAACTATTTGAAAACAGATTTACTATGTCATTATCAAGGATGCCTAAGAGATCCAGTAGATAGTAGAACGGTTCGTTTTTATATATGATATAATAATTGAAGGTTTACGCCGTAGACGAAACGTCACGTTGATTTGACGGGAACAGCATGGCTGCAGGTCGAAGTGATTGAGTAGTAGTTATCACTCTCTTGTTAACTATTGATGCCAATCAATAGCTCTTTATGCAAAATAATTATTATTGCATAAGCGAAATCGAAGGCCGCATCGACTTTGTTTCAGCGTTAAAGTCTAACCATTGTACTGATGATGTCAGAAACACTTGAGATCATTGGCAAACGGCTTACATAGTTTGCATAGTGCTCGAAACTAAAACGTGTTCGTTCTTACGTAATCAATAAGCACCAGGTCGTTTAGCTGTGAAGTTCTCAAGTTAAAAAGTGTAAAGGACTTGAATATATATATATATATATATATATATATATATATATATATATATATATATATATATATATGCGCTTAGGAACCGCATTCGATCGATGTTCCTACTGCACAGAAATTTCCGACTGGTTCCGTCCCGTGCAGTGACTATTGCGGAAAGCTATGGCCCGAGTAGAAGGCTGTGCCGCTCCCGCACCGATCGAAAGATCTGAGAGGCCCAGAGTACTTCCTGCCTAAGTCGTACTTTTTTTTTTGATTCTTTAACTCGCTTCATTCACTAAAGTCCTGTGTCGAAAAGAACGAAGAGCAAAGCAGAGAAGACTGCTATTCGAGTCTGCAGCGATGGCGCCCGCTGCTGCGGGTGCTCCAAGTCGCTCAGCTCCTTTTAGACATCACCCCAGTGAGGAGCTGGTACAAGCAATCGGTCGCTCTATGGAACAGTGGCTCTCCCATAAATCGAGAGTAACTCCGACATCTGGCCAAAGCGCAGCTTTCACTGTGGCAGAAGCGACGGCAACGGGTCGGCAACGAAGTTGTCGTTCAGAGACTTGACGGGCGTACCAAGAGCAGAAGTTCCATGCCATGGCCAAGGGTTCTGCGGGCTGCTGCAGCGACGACGACAACCGTCAGGCTTCTCAGGAGCTAACAAGATCTATTCGTTACTCTTGCTCAGTCCTACGGTGTTGGCCGAGCAAACGGTGAACTCCGCCAAAACCCGACCCAATGTCCTGTCCCAGAATACCACGAAAGATGGACCATAGATGATCTAATAAAATATTGAAGCTCCCGAACTTTCGATCAAGTCGCCGATAGCCAATTATACTATTAACCTTTTACATGACGCTGCTACCAATAACATACACCACTGAATCATCTAACTGCAAGCAGACGGGCATCAGTAGTGAGCAATAATGTTCCATACCTTGCAAGTCGACGAAGTACGTACGGGGCGCTTATGATCGACTATGAAAAATTTCCCTGTTCGGGCCGCCTTTGTGTTCGCCTCTTTTGCAAAAACTTCGGCACTCCTCTATCGCAGGCTGCTGGTAAAGCCCCGTTCGTACGAAGACCACAGAGGACAAAAGCAGGCCAAAAACAAAAAACGAATAATAGAAGCAATTGCTTGCCGTCTATCTACATCATAAAGTCGACGATGATTCCATAGGTGAAGGAAATGTTTTAAATGTATTCTCTTTTTGTCCTTGTCTTGAATTTTTCGAGTGGCGAAGTAGAATCCTATAGAGTTTTATTCTAATACTATAGCTTATCCGAACCCTAAAATAAGGTTGAGCTAAGGCAAGTGTGCTGCTTGCCG